CGGTTCGCAGCATTATTGGGTATAATGCTGCGAACCTCAGTAATTATCTATTAATGATGAAGTCGAGGAAAAATTCCATCTGGGATAGCTAATGCAAAAAAGAAATAGTAAAAGATGCAGCAAAATAAATGTTTAAAACGGAAACGAGCAGGATTTAAGAAGTTAAATCAGCACAATTTCCACTTTTAGAAGCTTAAAATGCCTTAGGGCAACTGCAGAATTCCAGACCACTTCATCCGATCTCTTAAATTTTCCAAAATGTACTGAAAATGCTCGGAATAGAAATATATTTAGGAACGACTCTAAAAGTGTTGATCGTTTCTAACAACAGAGGGAAACGTTGTTCGTTTCTATAACAACAAACGCACGGATGCAGCGTAACATACAAGTAAAGTTCTGTTGTGTCTATTTGTGACTTTCTTAACAAAACAGATGAAAACACCTAATAAACGAATGTCGATTGTCGTGTTCGACAAGTCGGTAAAAGGTAAAGCGAGTAACAGACAAATAAAGTTATGTCGTGTTTTTTTGTCGTAACATTAAAAATTAACTTGTTGCCTTGCGTAAGGCAAGTGTGATATTTTTGAGATAACAGTCTATTATTTATGCTTGCGACTTTTTTTCACAGTAGTAGTCTGATAGCATCATTTCCCCTAGGATCAGAATAGGCATAAATTACGTAGTTGTGCTCTGTTTCCTCTGGTGGTCGCATGTATGTTTTGATCCGATCAAAGTATATATGAAGAGGGTAAAGCTAGCTACAATACGAATGCGAACTGGTCAAAATGAGCATTCATCCTTGCATTGAGTGTGATGATGAAATTAAACCAGGCCAACAAGCCCTACAGCCCTACAGCTCATAGTCTTCGTGGCATTGTTAGAAACCAAGAAAGAGTTTCTCAAGCTTACGAAACGTCCGTGAGTAAGAAACGATTACCTATCAAACGAACAACGCTGCATTTTGTTTTGGGAAACGAACAACGTTTCCCTTTGTTGTTAGGAACGAACAACACTTGAAGAATCTTCATGGTGTTGTCGGAAACAAAGAGCGCTTTAGTGATAAAAATTTCTCAACGTTATTGCCTATTTACGGTCTGACATTCTGATCTTTTTCATCTTACCTAGGATGCACATTGGAACATCTCATGCGTGACACAAAAGATCTAAATAACCCCATATCCAAATCAACGCGCTCAAAATCTTTGTTATCATCCTTTTAGCTCAAAAAAGTTAAAAAATTCGGCTTTAATCATCGGCTGCAGTTTCGTCATATTGTTGTCAATTTCATAGCGTATGTTGATTGTGTTTATTGATCTTCGTTATATTAATTTTAGGCAATCTAAAACGATATCCAATATATATCGACTTGAACATATATTTTGCAGTCTTCCAACCCATATACTTTTCAGTTTGGACACATATTTTAGGATTTAGACATATGTATCGATATTTGAACCTTTGATCTTATTTTACAAGCATACGTGCTAGGTAAACGGAATACAATTCCCAAAATACATCATGTGTGACAACAAAACATATTACCTATTCATTATTCGATCAAAAAGCATTTGATGATATCCTCAAACCAATCTGGTGGGCTTGGATGGGCTATTTCTTTCCAATGATCCACAATGATAACCAATATTTTGGAGCAACCTGAGCTTAAAAGTTGTCACAAATCTTTAAACTCACAAAATCGAAAACGTATGGCACTAATGAAAACTAAAACAACCATAACAGAAGTTGTTTTACGTACCCTCTCACGGGTGTTATCGTCGTGTGCATAACTAATTGAAAAGGTGCACTCATCTGTAAGATACTTCACCACATAGCAAAATAAAGACGTCCGTAAGTTACATTTCCGTCTGGGAATGATGTCAACAACCGAAACAATCTTCAAAGATCAATTGCAATTGAGAAAAGTGCAGATAAAGGAACCTGGACAAATTCGTGCTTTACAATGAAGGTATGAGACCAAAAATGCTAATAAGATACTTCAGAGCTGGCGATCCTAGCTAATTGTCCCCAAATGACAAAAAATGATCAAAAAAGAGCACAGGTAATTCTTTTGTTCGAAAAATTTCTGGATATAAGTCAAACGTAAAAGTGGAGGTTGCAACTATCAACTTTTCTAGGCCTAGTCCCTTTGTACGGATGAAGTCATTTTTTTTCAACAGTCAGTAGTTGTCAAGAGACTGTAGCTTTCTCGTTGACAGTCACATTGCCCTCTTTATTCCATATCCACAGGCCAGGCTCATTAATGAACCTGCATTTCCGAGCACAATCAGCTGAAGGTTATGAAATAAACAGAACTTCAACAAAATATGCGGAACAAAAAAAAAACCGAAAATACTTTCGAGGAAGAAAGTAGACAGAAGATATTGACTTGTAGCCTGGTAAACTAAGTATGACCGTGGTGTCTTAATTACGACCCGTACCATTAACATACTTTTTAGCGGATGAAAGAGAACAAATCCTTGTCTAAAAGGCTGAAGGATTACCTTTACAATTAAAAATGCTGTGAGTGGAATGCCTTATTCCAAGGATTCCACTGTAAACCTTTTTTTGATTATTGATAAAATGACAACAACAAAATCATTAACAACAGTACTGAAGCATTTCTCACTGAATAGCACATCTGGCAAAAGACATTCTTATTTCGTTAAATTTAATTTTTTGAAAGACTAGTATAGCAACTTTTTATTGCAAGCAACAATTCTGACTTAATCGGGGTCAAATCTACATTCCGTAGACAAGCGTATCAAGATCGAGTGCTCTAACAATAACGCATCCAAATGTTTTTGGTACTTCAATCAACAGGGTAGTCTAAGTTGTGGGTTTTCTTTATTCCAATAGGCCTATTGAGGCGTGATATGCTCCAAAGGAAATGCAAGATATCTCGAAAACACAGCCCAAGGTTTTTCAAACCATGAACAGCGGCTTGAACCAAAAAGTGGAGCCGAAATCTATAGTCAAACCAGTCATTTAAGGCCAAATGATTAAGCCCAAAAAGCGTCTCTTGAGAAGGGAAGAAAAAGGAAGCAGTGCTATTTAAAAAATAATACGTGGCCGCGCGTAGATAGGGAATGTCTCTTTGTGTGTTCAACAAACAAGTATTATTTTTCTTTATTATATTAACACAATAGGCCTTTACTGACAAAACTGAATGGACTCTATTAATGAATTAATAAAAGTTGGATCCACAGTGCGCGAAAAAAATTCGTCGAGTGCTTCGGTGATAAGGCTAAAGATAAAAAATATGCGTTAAATCATTACAAAAACAAACGATGGGCGGAACTTTTAATCTACAAAATTGTTAGCGTTGACTTTCTCCCTACCGACAGTTGTCGATTTTCGTTCTCAGCCGCGAGAAATGCCATTATCAAACCCAAGTACGTAAATTTCGATTTTTCTTTTCGTATTTTGGTTTTCTTCCGCTTCTAGGATGTTTTGAAATTCACATCGCTTTCAGAAAGTGACTTTCAAAATATTTTAGAAGCGGAAGAAAACGAAAATACGATAAGAAAAATCACGCTCATTGTTTTTAGCTGAGAAAATGTCAACGAACGACCTTGGATTGAGAATGGTGAACGCCTTGCCATTCATTCATCAAAATGACAGAGTGACACGAAAGGCTAGTGACGTGTCAGCAGCTGACTGACGATGTCAAACACACGTGAATGAAATATGTCATTTTCACACGAGTGCTGTCACAGCTTTTCTCAGGGAAACACACAGTTTATATAATAATACTCTTTCTTATTTTTCCTTTTGAAAGAGAAATGTTTTTCAATTCAGTGTTTTCATACCATTTTAAGTTCACGTCGTTCTGTTACGAATAGTAGCTTGCAATGATAAATGTGTCTATGCCTCTGGCTGTTGCAGCTGGCATTATGCAAATACAAACATGCATCGAAATGCAACGATTGCATTAAGGACAATCAGTGTACCGCTCAAAGTAAATGCCACAGGGGACCCACAACGTCCAACGTTACAGAGGTCGTTATCACAGCACATTTTGCAATATTCTTCGCCATCTTTCTCCCAGTTGACAAATTCCTTGTCGCATTTGTTGACACAGTCTCTGTAAAATCGTGTCTCTCCATGTCTTCCATCCTTGACAACTTCACAGAATTCGTTTCCTTCAGAGCACGTCGCCGTTCTCGTACCATTGACTGAATCTTCAGAACACGGCTCATTGCGAGAGTCACATAGAAAGCATATCCTGCCTAAAAAATTGAGATAAAGAATTCAGTTTTCCTTATGAACAAAATCAACAATTGTGTTATTCCTAGACGAAATTTCTTCAACAGACAAATAAATAAAGTATAACGCACGTAGATTTGGAGTATTAAACTCGGTAGCTACGAGTGAGCACAACGAAGAAGTCGCAAAGGCATTGCCGTTCATTCATCAACCCGACCGAGTGGCGCGTAAGGCGTGTGACGTGGCAGCAGCTAATGATTGGCGATGTATTGCTTTCACTTGTGTCGTTACGGCTTTTCTCAGGGCTGGAAATCTTTTTATAACACCATAGTTTAATAATTAAAAGTACTACATTATCTATTAATTCATCCCATCCTTTTCATTTCTGCCATCTATTTTTCACTCTGACCAATTTTCTGATCAACGAAGTTACACGACTCAGTTGTGATATGAAACCATCAAACATGTACATAAATAATCTATTTAAGTAATCACTTACCAGCGACCTGGAAAGAAAAAATTACCAGGACGACGAAAACCGCCAAAAATAATCCTCTTGTGATTCTCTTCGTGTCCATAGAGCAGGTGCTAGGCAATATCTGTTATAGGTACAACAATGTTTATTCTTCTCGTGCAACGTTCTTATTCTCAGTCAACATGGTACATTATAACGTGGTATCAAAATGGTTTACCCTTCAACTACCATGATTTCAAAATTTCTCCTTACAATATCATTACGATATCAACCGGGCAATAATAGATAGAGGAATACCAGGTAGGGAATTAATACTTGATCCAATGCCAAAACTGGCGTAAGAAATGCAGTAAAGAGAATTGCAAATAAGATATTGGGAGTGAGAGGATAAATAAATCAGAGGCCGTTTTTATACTAGAAGACGCATTATCCGTACAGCTTAATAATGCGTCTCTCATGGTATGCGTCTGATGTTAAGAGACGGGACGAATAATAAGACGAACGAGGTGAGGCCAACAATGCGAAATATTACGCACGGTGAAATAAAAACGAATGAGAACTGAAGATTTCTTAGCTGTAAAAATTAAGATAGCGGCCATATTGAAACTTGTTCTATCGTGAGAGAAAAGCAGAGGACAGTGTTTAAGTCGCCAATCTAAAACATACCAGGAAATGGCAAGAAAATTTTCTTTGAGAGATAGGAGTTCGAAACTGAAGCTTCAGAACTCGCTGTTATGTCGGTAATCGTTTTTCTTGTCGCCAGGACGAAGGCAAAGTCCTCAAAGCCCCGTTTTTGTCCATAACCGATTTCGCTGTTTTACTGTTGCCTTTTCACTTGCATCCGCCATATTGTTTTTTTTTGACGTATAACCGCTGGCTTTTTACAGCACGGTTTTATTTTTTAATGTTCATCGCTGCTGCCCGTCGTTGCACACAAAAACAGGAAATCTTTGGCTTTGTGTGTGCGCGATATAGTCACAGTTCCCAAATGAATGTGACTAACCCCAAGTAGAGTGCTCTCGGTAGCTAGAAAATTGACGCAATGCTTAATGTGGAGGACCTATCGAGAGTAATATAATCTATGTACTGCATTTGATGCAGTCGAATGCAAGATCCAATAACATTAAGAATGCACGCGCGCCACCCCGCGCGTGTTTCATAGCGTGAATCGAGGATTCCCTACAGCTATAAATCCTTAATCCTCAGTCTTAATGTAATTGTTCAACCCTTTAACCTTTAGGAAGTGACCAGTATCGAAGTCTTCCTTACAGTATCACTGCTGAGTTTAAAATCTAAGGAAACGAGAACAAAGAAGAAAAAAAAAGATCGCCGACTTAAGAGGCTTGTGATTGTAAAGCAAATTCTCGGGTCAGTACATGGAATGTAAACAGAGCAGTGTGGAAGATATGCATAATGAGTTAGGGTGACTGAGAGCTAATGAAGAAATCTGATTAAATTCTGAACAAAAAATAAAAATTATATTAATTTATTAAAAGGCGATAATTCATGTTTTAAACGTTTTCAACTGTGTCCAGTGTTAATGTTAATTTTGATCGTGCTTCAGTGAACGGGATCAGCAAGAAAGTCCATAAATTTCATCCTTGTTTGATTACAGTTCAACTTTTACGTCTTTGAATTAAATATCGTGAGTAACTTGAGTTGAAAGCTAGTTGAAAGTGTCGATAGTCTTTGATGAATGTTTATAATCAAATTTTCGCCTCTTAAATTTTATTTCGTCGTGTTGAAGACAGCTATAATTCTTTGTCGGCAAACTTTTAGGCTTCAACATACCATCACGTAACCAGTGAAATACTCGGCTGGCAAAGAACGCATGTGATATTTTTCAACTGACGCATGAGCAACTTCTTAGCAGTCACGCACAAAACACGAAACATTACTGAATATTCTTTAGAAGGAGTAAGTTTCATAATTTTCAGCATAGAACTCGCATCTGTGCCGTTGGACAGAGCTATGCATGAGAAGGGTTAAGCAATTACAAAATATGATTGGTTCGAAAACAGTAGATGGAAACCACTGCCTGACGATCGCCGAACGAGTACTGTCATCACGTCTGCATTGAATGTGTCGCTGATCCGGTCACGGCTCTCTCTCCCGGTGACAAATTTTAGGAAAAAACAGAAATTACAATTTTCTCAGAGGCTTGGAATACATTTTGATTTCACCGCACTGCCAAGGTATCTCGTTCCTATCGTGACTTGAACAATTTCCTCACCCAACTGTTTTACCTCTCGTCTTATTGTGTCAATCTAAACTTTAATTCGGCGAACAAACCACCTACCTTTGTCGAGATAAGTGGAATCACTGCTTCATCCAACTTCTAAATCAAACCTCTGGACTGCTTCACCATGCAGAAAACTCTAGAACATAATTTCAATCGATTCGCCACGCACAGGTAACTTTGGCCGTGTATGAATGCCAATGCTACGTCAAGAGTCCGAACTTTGACCCAATATTTTAGGAAATTTTGACAGTCTTCTTCAGCGTGTAATTAGGACTTCCGGACGGGTGGAACTACTTCTTTGGCAGTTCTCTAAGCTAAAACGAGATATGCGAGGTGCTCAGATGGAAGAAAAAACTTAAAGAAAAGAAAAGGAAAAATGCTGTCATGATGAAAAAGTGAAACAACTGACATTGGCAGGTTTAGATTACCAGGGTTTTACCAGTGTCCCACCTTGAATAATTCCACCTGAATATAAGGAATACCCCATTAACACCAAACCTTAATCATTTTATAGAACTGTTTTGTTTAACACGGACTAAAATTGTTTTCCTCATATAAGCTGCTTAAACAGATGTTTGTCGACTTCTAGTTAGTGACTTCCACAACCCGATGAAATAAAACGTTTTTCCGTTCCCTGTGTCTGTTTTTCATTCACTCAAACCCATATTAACAAAACATGTTTTGCTGGTGTAATCGGGGTACAAGATTCGTTATTTGCAACTTGTGTGTATCTTTGCTACATTTCCTGTGGTGCTCACAAGGAGCATTTGTCTAATAATGTTCAGCCTCTTAAGGTCGCAATCAGTTCTTATATTCTCATAACCTTAGTGTTTGATTCAGGGGTGATGCTTTCGGGAGAAATAAGATGCTTATCACTCCAAGGGGTTTAAAATTCATCGCGATTCTCAAAATTCAAGTCACTCATATTGTAGCCGTATTTTAAGTATCATACATGGCTCGCTTGACAAGTAAATAGTTATACAAATGGTTTCGACCCGGGACTGACATTTACTTATATATATGTGGTCTGATCGCCCATCATCGTAACAACCAGCTATCTTAATGTTTCACACGGCTAAAGTGCGATTCTCTGATAAGATATTCGTGTTGAATCACTGTATCGTGCCTTCTTAATGTCTCGGCAGATTTCGCTCAACTGTTGATCGCACAGTCTAATCAAGCCTTCCGATGAGGGCAGACTTGTAACGGTTTACTATCAGTCACTGTAACTCACAAGCGGCTGCCTATGATGTAATCAGCGACCGGGCCAGCAAAGGGACCATAAGGCAAACGATAGAGCTGATTGACGAAATGCTACGTCACAGGTATGCGGTCAATAACGCGGGCTCAACCGTTCGGGGTTTTAAAATTCGGCGAAATTTGCGGAGAGAAAAGGGGCTGGGATTTAGTACCGAAGCATTTTGTTGTCGTTGAAAGCATTTTTCTATTTCCAGTGTTTAAAATGAGAAAGCTAATTTTTGAAAAAATATTTAGGGGGTGTAGAAAGTTTTTGGAGGTTGTTCTGAAAATGAAAAACGCCCAGAAGCCACAGAATAGAAATCAAACGTGCCAACGGCTCAAAATCCGTTTTACGCGTTTTACGAGCCAAAGCCTAGCGCATGCACAGACGTTATTCAGCTCCGTCAAAGCAAATCACAAAATCAGGACTTGCTTGCAGGCTCAACAGACGGCGGTCAGAGGTCTTGTACGAGACTGTAGACTACTGATAACCAGCTTTTCTGGAAACTCCCGACGTAACTGACACATCGAAACCCTGAGCAGAAGCAATTACCTGTACGACTAATTCGTAGAAGTGAGAAACTTGGAACATTGGCAGAGTGAAATTTATTTTATTGGAACTTCAATGATTTACAAACTACTGAAAACGATTTAAAATTGATTAGTTCAATTTTGATAACATCATATTTCGACGGTTTGCTTGCATATCAAACACTTTAAAACGCAAGAGAATCCACAAGAAGGCCGCTGCAACGCAGTCAACTTTTCACCCATCTAATAAGGTAATTTTTAACCAAAATGTCGGTCAATTCAATACTCAATACTTCAGCTTCGAAGAATAATTTCTCGATTCAGTACCGATACAAATGGGTTTTAAACCTTAGGACGACTCCTACTATGAAGTACACACTTAATAGATACTAAAAGGGAGTGACGTCAATCGATGATTAATTGTAGAGATAAGGTCAATCTCCAGTGTGCGCATAAAAGTTGCAGAATGTTACTTTGAACGTTACTTTACAAATTGACTCTTCCGCGTCTACGACTTCACAGCATATTTACAAGATGAAGTCAATTTTACTTCCAGAATGAAAAAAGCCATAGTTTGGTCAACAAATACCGACAGCAACAACCAAGTCGTTAAATTATCCTCTGTGTGTGAGAATTCGAGACTCTTCGTATTCCACAAATCTTAGAGACGTATCCTATGCGAGAACGATTTCTGACAATAGCGTTATTTTCCTGATTTAGCGAATCTGGCAGAGATCCGGCAAATATTTGGACTCAGGGAAATCTCACCTTTACCTTGAAATGGGTTCTCATACAATCTTCATACTCCAAATTTGCGTTATCTGTGGTCAAAGTTTTACAACACAACTTGTACACTTTTTCCTCCTCCAAGATGATAAGTTGATTTTATTTTCAATAAAATAATCGAATTGCTTCTTTTGAGAGTTTATGATCATCTAGGAGACTCATCTATTTTGAGGTCACACTAACACTCATCAAAGCTTTTCGTGAGGGGCATTTCACCCGTGTCGTGAAAACTCCAGGTTTAAATTCGTATATCTGCTTTACTACGAACCGTGTTTGGTTTCGAGATTTCTCTCCACTCTCCTCACACGTCTAAGGCAAAACTCAAACCAATCGCTATGTGGATAGGCGTTTTCCTGCGCGTCAGTTCATCAAAATGTGCTTTTTTCGACTTCCTACTCGCTTCTTGCAACATTTACCTCTACTTTCTGATTGCAGGTTGCGATCACGTTTGTTTGACTTTAAAACAGTTAATCAATAAGCGCTCTGTTTCAAAATTATTTGAAATTAAGCTGTAGTAATGTCTACAGCCTCTGGAGTTGTGTGGATCTCCCCAGGCAGCTGAGAACCCGTCACAGGGTCACCAATGATACTCATAGTGGCGAGACGGGCTCGGCGATAAACAAGCAACATGTTGAAACCCAAAAGCCTGAAATAAAAGAATATTAAGATACATGAGTTGGTCGAACCGTTTAAATCAGACGTACGCTGCTCAATCTGACCGATCAAACAGCTACCTGACGGGTAAAAGTCTTTGACTACCGAAGAGACAGGCTAAATGACTGGCTAATAGATTGACTGGCTGACAGACAAACTGATGGACGGATTGACAGACTGATGGACTGACAGACCTACTCACTCACTCACTCACTTAAAGACGAACTGAGTGGCGACTGACGGACTGACCAACCGACAAACCGACGGACCGACCGACCGACTGACAATTGAGCGAATGAATGACGTATGACCAGATGGACAGACAGACAGAAAGGCAGACAGACTGTGGCAGACAAACAGTACATGTATAACCCAAGACTAGTAGGATCAACCAACAAGTGTATGTCATAGCCTTCAAGTTGAGTCTCAAGACGACACACCCTTCGTGAGACATGTTTCAGGCTTAATTATATAGCTGGTCAGTTAATCTAATATTGTCAGCGCAGCTAATATCCTTTAATATCTAAGAACTGTTCAATTAATGATTAATTTTGGATAGTTTCACAACGGACTTTAAGTTAAAAATTCACAAGCTGTCCTGTTGAAGAAACTTAGGGCAAATTGCATCAGCCAATCAAATCCAAGCAAAAACTACATGTGATAGAAATATGCTAATAAGCACAAAGCATAGCGTCAGCTCTGTAGACTTGTTGTGTTGTTGGTTGATAAATGGCAGAATTTAAATATTCCTCGTTATGAGCTGGATGCAATTCTCTGCCTCTTTTTGCTGAAATTCGGTGACGAATGCGATCAGTCTAACCGTCATGCAGTGCTCGTTGGGCCGCCATTTGAAAAACTGTGACAGAAACTACAGTACCTTGCGAGATCGTGAATTTACAAATTTAAGACAACAACTTGAGGCAAAAGCCAGAGAATTAAGAATACAGGGTTACGGAAAGAGAAAGAACAAGACCAACATGACTGACCAACTGACTCACGAATAAGAAGTTTCAAGACACAAGCGACGCATTACCTCGATGATCAAAAACAGAATCATTAAAAATCATTAAAAGCCATCCAAACAACTAACAGACTAACAGAAAGATCAACCTAGCAAAGATAGGGACAGATTGGTGACACACACCGATCCTCTAATCGTTATCATTTTACTTATTTCATAGATTATACAACGACCAATCAATAAATCAATCAATCAGTCAATGGACCACGTGGAAGAGGGGAACTCACTCACCTGAGACAGACGTACTCGAGTACCACGCCCATTCCTATGACCACAACCTTACAAGTCTCAGACATTTTTGTTAAACAAAGAAAGTAAACACTAATTGGAGTTCCAATCATCATGGACAGAATCAGCGTTGTCTGAATCCAATGCCTTGAGCGCCAAAAGAGGAATATAATTTCAATTACATAACTAAGCTATAGACCGCACTTTTAATCGTTTTATCAGCATAATAACCCACATAGGATGCTAAGAGAACACGAGAAAAGTTTGTAAAACACAAGCCGGAGGCGAGCGACTCACAAACTTCCTATGGGCTTACCGGTTTTATAAACGATAGATTTCGACTAATCAGGGCGCTCGTAGTATCTGACTAATTTTATAACCTGTGCTTGTTCTGTCATAGTGAGCGGTTTCAAATGCCCTTCAAGATTAACATTTGGAAAAAAAAGAAAAGGTTTTCGTAAAAGGGTAAGTGGTTGACAATCAGTGGAGCTGCTTTTGCATTCCCTTCTAATCGTAAATCGAGCCAATTTTAATGGCAGGTTTATGCTCGCTCTCAGATTTTCTTCAATTCATGTGCTAGAAAAATATTGGAAAATTAATCGAAGACGAAGAATATCACCCTAAAAAGCAACTAACAATTGAATAACCGAGAGGTTTCTCTTGGGCTGTTAATAATGGGAGCAAAAGATAGGAGCAGAACAACTTAAATAATTTCCTACCTGACAGTAAGACCACTCGGTAACCACTTTCTTCCTGTTTCCAATTTGTACTGTCGAAGCAGATAGACAGCGGTTACGATACCATCAATGACCGTAAAACACCACGTCTACATTATTACAGGGGTTTACAATTCGCCACCACTGAGAGTCAAATCTCCACCGGTGGCGATTTGACTTAAACGTTATGCGTAGCCTGCCGCATAAAGCTTACATCAAATGAAAGCTAACATGTAGTAGTGCATTGCGAAAAGGAAAAGGGACTCAGAAGTTATGTATAGCCTTCCAATTAATGCAACCGTTAAATGAAATAAAAAATATTGATATCACGAAGATTATGATAAGTTTGCGTAGAGCGAAACCAGAGTGATTTTCGCCGATGGTTATGAAATCGTATGAACCTTACATCAAATAAATGCTAAGAAGAAGTAGTATATTGGTACAAAAAGCGCGCACAAATACAATGCAGTCTACAGAAACTGACTCGGCGTCCTTTCTTTGTTTTAAGAACAAAGAATATCAAAGTGACCTTTAACACAAGTTTCGTTCTTACGAACACAATTCGTAATCAAATCAAATGGAAAGTATGATATGAAAGCCTAGATCTTGAAGTTCATTCCCTTTTTTAGTTCTGATGAGATGAAATTAGGACTTTCTACGTTGAATGGAAATGTTTGATTACACGCAAAACAATTAAATGTAGACTAGACTTTCCACGTTGGATGGAAATGTTTCATTACACGCAAAACAATTAAATGTAGACTAGACATTTGGCGCTTTGCAAAGCAGACTCGATTGTTAAATTTAGCAACCAAGAAAGACCATAGACTACACAGCGTAAACGGAAAAAAAAAACTACAGCTAAGGATACACAGCGTAAACGGAAAAAAAACTACAGCTAAGGAGTACCTCTTCTCTGCACACTTTGCATTTGGGCCCATCCAAACGGCTCTCAGGGCAAGACTGGGAGATAAGGAATACAAATAAAAAATAAATGGCTATCTCTTAAACCTTAAAAGATGTGATAAAGATCTTCAAGCAAACTGCTACAGTGTTCATCTCCTTTCATCTCCTCTAGCTTTACCAACAGGTCAGGGAGTGGGATTGAATCCATTTTTACGAAACTTTAGGCAGGTTCTCCAAGCGTCTACTGCGGAAATATAATCGTCCGAGTGAGGGGAATCTTAAACAGTGAACAGTGAATGAGCAGAAGTTGTCATCAAGATGAAGACAAAGTCACTTAGCTCTGACAATGACTCTGACAATGACTTCCGGTCAGGTCGTCATCCACTGTCACCGACACAAGCCCCGTTCAAGACTAACAGTAGACACGAACGATTACACTAACACTAAACACGTACCATCTCGAACTTGCCCACATGTTCAGGACGTTTACAACGGTTTCAATAAGACAAGAGCAGTTATCTGAGAAATTCATAAGAGCAAGCACACGGTTACTCTACCGCGGGTAGGTTACCTCAAGAAGCCATCTCTTCAGGCAGTCGTGGTGTACGGCAGCGACATCTCCTTTGCAGTTACATGGTAATATCATTGGGCCAGCATCGGTGCGATCACTGTCATAACAAATCCAGCAGTCACGGTGAGGTGCGTCAATATCTGTCAATCAAAATAGAATACGTAAATACAAAAGCCAGTAATAGAGCACAAAATGTCACGCTATCACGATTTATCCTTGCGCTGCTTGTTTACGCTGTTTTTGGTTGTTTTTATTCGTCTGTTTTCTTTCCTTCAGCTTGTTTGCTTTAGTGTGGTCGAGGACCTTGTTAGAGTCTAATACACTCAATTATATACACATATTGCCATGTTTTTCAAGAGTAATTAAAGAGAATTTTCTTTCAACATCATAAAAATTACTCGTATTTTGCAAAAGGAAGGAGGATGGTAAATTTCCCCTCTCAGCCGTCAATGCCAATATCTCTATGGGAGAAGCTGTTTTACAGCTAAACTCGAAGACTGATTTTTCTTTCCCCTGTACGGCTCCATTTATTTTTCGAATAATTTTCAACAAATCTCGGCGGTACTCTCTATCAAATTATATTCATGTAAGTGATAGCAATAATACATGTATTACTAATGGCGCGATTGACCGGTAATACTCGACAATATTCGTTGAACCTTCAGGGAATAATTGATTTAGAATAATTTTCCTTCTCCAGTCAAAGCTTCAATGCTTCAATATTTCACCTCGCGCGGGACGATCACAGCTAGATATGACTAAACCGACTCAACCATTGACCAATGTGAGTACACATATCACTGTCATCATCATCATAATAAATATGGTGATCGAATGAATACAATGAACAATAGCAAGCACTATCACAAGAATCATTTTAACAACTCTTTTGCGATATGCAAAGAAAAGTTAAGTGTATTGAAGGTAATTTACGGCTAAAAGAAGCAATTTCAAGGCTAATCATAAGCAAAAAGTTGAATGCAAATATCGATTTGAAACTCTACAGTACGGTTCTTTCCTTGCACAACATACATGCACAGAACATGACCTTAGAGAGGGGTAAAACACTAAATATGTCTGATAAATCAATGGAAATGGTAGCGTTCAAACACGTAATTTGCAAGAAACTGAAACCGTTATGCATGTCGGAAAGCGCAAGGCGGCTGCTTTTGGCTCGAAAACTGTAACAAAATGTACAGGAAGATAAATTTACCGATAAATCCTGCATGCCGGTTGCACGGAGTCCAACAGACGGCATTTCTTAGGTCACGAATGGTGAGAGTTAGAGGATTTGGTCGCTCCATGAACGCTCCTCATCTACAGAACACAGCACATGTAGCTTGTACTTCCACCGAGTATAAAGCCATAGACTGCAGCTCTTTCATACAAACCGATTACGATATTTTTATTTTTAGCCATTAAATCAGAGTCAGTCGTAAATTTGATTTGCTATTACCATACGTCACGGAAGACTGGTTTGTTTACATTTGCAACAAAACATCAGAGATCTGAGGGCGACTTTAAGATAACGACGAAAGTCGTAATCTCGTTCGTTCATATACATACGAGCATTTCTTGAAGCCACTCAGTTCATCGGATAGTATGTATTATTACCGACCATAATAAAGCCAGTAACGCAAAAACTTAACGGCTACAGGGAAATTCTAAGAAAGCCAGCAACGGAATGACTTGACGGCTACATTCGCGTACGTATAAGAAAAGTTAGAAGATAGCCGGTAACGCAATGACTCAACAGCTAACTCTGCGTCGGTACGCGTTGACAAGGATACATCGAACGAAACGGAAAAGCAGCGACTTTACATTTCTGATAAATCTCGTTTCAGGCTTCCAATGTTCCCACATGTACTGATGTGAGCCAATATTATTAACATTGTCAATGCCCAAAGCGTGGTGTTCGCTCCTCGGGATTAAGTGAGCAACCGGATGAAAAGAGTAAAGAACAAAAATGAATATTAGGATTCGAATATTGAGGCGTGGGAGGAACAGCTGTCCTCATCAAGAATTTACTGTAGTTTGCCATGGGCGTCATAACTAATTTCATTTTGCTGAAGGCTTTCACCGTTTAACCCATTGAAGGGACAAGCATCTACATGTCATTTCTCCTTACAGAATCCCTGCCAATCGAACATTATGGTCATAAAATAAAGGAAGTGAAAAAACGAAGGAATCCCTCGATTTTTAAACAGACTCTTCTTGTCAGTGACATAAGAAATCTAAAGATAAAAGTATGGAGTAGGTCAGTGTATAATGATGTTAGGAAGTGAAGAGTTAATGACATGCTACACTTAAATCACAATGCTTTTCAACCGTTCATTGCTAGAAGCAACACTCAATTCCATTATGTTTTTCTACAGCAGGTGAAACAGGAAACAACGAATTTAAAGCCTATATAGCCTCTCTCACCTGCATCTGTTTCAATGGCTTCGTATGAATGACAATGATGGGATTGACCCAATAAATGAGAGGTTTCCTACAAAAAATTGACACATTTTAAATCAGTATAAAAACACAGAAGTTCTAAGGTTTACCATTTTAAATATTCCCTCTAATCAGAACTGGAACTTAAGTTCGAGTATAAGATTGTTACCTCACCTTGCACAAATAACAGGAAAACATTAAAATAAAACAATAAAAACAAAACTTGAAATCTAAATAATCTTCGAAAGCACAATACCTCATCCGTCTCATGTACAAGCAGTCGCTTAGGGTTTAATATCCAGAGCTGACTGGGACTGAAACGATCGAGAAAAAAGGCTGTCAGTAACAATATTCAGACACCACAGTTGCGGCAAAGCAAGTGCATCTATATGCAACATGATTTGGCGGTCAGGGGGCATTCAGGATGTCAATTTTAACCCTTCAACACGATGATGTGATTACCTAAAACTTCTCGCAGCATCAAAACATCATCTACCATTTAAGGAGATAAAAATAGCCACATGCATCAACCTGTGGGTACTATACAAGTATACATGTATGTCTAAATTCTCTTTACTTATCTGAAGGAGGCATATACCACATCTAGAGGGGAGCGTTACGACTAACATTGGAGTAGAGGATAACAACTTAGCCAAACCCACCTTTTCCAATTCCAAAGACAGCAAGAAAACCAGAGTGCTACGCCCAGCTCAAATACTCTAAAGACAACCTCTAAAGCATTCCTTCCCTCCATAGGCAGTCTGAGTAAAAAAGAAAGCTCACATTTACAATTCGCATGTTCTTTTCTTCTTTTTTTCTCTAAAATCGATCAAAATAGGAGAGCATCTCACCAACCCAAGCACACTTACAGTTGATGCTTTAACCCCCAAAGTCCCAAAGTGATTACCAGATAACGGTTATCAGCTCATACTCTGAATCACTGTATATATGTAAAACGATTCACCTGAGTGTTGCTAGGATCAATTTACTTAAAACGTAACAACAAAGTCAGTAAGCTCCAAAGGCACTACCAAAAAGCGGTTAATTTAATAAAACAATTATTCCATTTGTGCTTGTTGGATAGCAATCTCTGCGCTACGCACCTCGTTGGCTATTTACCATCTCAAATCCAACTCACGCTCACGGAATAACTGTTAATTTGATCTGGCAAGAGGGTGAGAAGAATGGGAAAAATTATCTGCTGTGATGCATTAACCCTTTAACTCCCAAGATCTCTTGAGTAGTTCTCCTTACTGTCTGCCATACAACTGTTATGATGTCAATTTGGAGAATTTGGTATTGGATCAACTAATAATTCCCGAATTTATATTTTTCTTTATTCTCATCACTTTTATGCTTGATATTGTATTGATAATGTAAGGAGAAATTCTCTCTTGGTCACTCATGGGAGGTAAAGGGTTAACTAGAGACATTACCAAATTCTCTTTGATAATCTACCAGCTAAGTATCATCGTTAAGTGGCTAGAGTGAGGAATCATTGGAAGCAATAAGCAATACTTACTACCAATACTGTACAATGCATATGCTTACTTGTGTTTCCATTTTGCCCCCATAATATCACCAAGGAGGAAAAGAGATGTGAGCAGCTGAAAAAAATCAACTCAAAAATCATTATTAAGCACACTTCACTCAAATTAAAATTTTGATCAACCATTAACATGAAAAAAGTCTCAACCATTCTCAGTACTATTCTCGTTTGCGGCAGTTCTGGAATATTTCTGGACAGTCTCGCCAAGAGAAGTATCTTTTAACAAAAACAACCTATTTGCCTCTGAGAGGAGCAAATTGGCAAATCTGAGGATGAGATGCACTTATTTGATGCCAATTTGGCAACAACAGAAAAATGGATGCAACAAAACAGAGGAATATTGTAAACCATGAGATAGAGTTACTGTATATGCCCACCTTTCCTTCCAGAACTTAAAAAGCAAAATAAAGATGAATTTGACAGTTTACCTGTAGGGATGCTTGTGAAAATAGACCAAATCTTGACATCGCAGCTTGGGTGATGTCAACATTTGATGGCTCTGTAGTTATAAAAGCACCCCGCACCTGCAATAAATGCAGTAATGATGATTTTTTCATTTAGTTACTTAAAAATGGTTTATCCAAATTCTCAACCATCATTGAATAATTTCTTAGTCTTTTTCTCCCATACCACATGTCACCATGATAACACTACTGCCTCTCAGAACGTGCCTTTGACTCTAAAATGAGTTGGTGAACCCCTTTTTTTATCATCAAATCACAATTTCAGCATTGTCCAAGGAAAAAAAATTGGTAAATAATGCACATTCCATGCTACCTTAATTTATAGATAATTCTGTTTGATCCCCATTGGCTAATTTCATTTGTCCTTAACCAAAAGGTTGCATTCACAAATTCATGTTTTCTCTCTCAAAGTAAGCTCCACTTCTCAGAAAACTATGCTTATTTCAAGTAATCTTTCAGCTCCAGGAACTAATCTCTAAGAAAACAGCCACTATACACCTGTATCTGAATGGTTTTTAATTAACTAAGTTTACAGACTGCTTCACATTAATCATGGATGGCTCTGTCATGACACACAGAGGCCCAAAAGGTCTCTCAAGAGTATAGCACATACATTGTACTTACCTTGTAATACAATTCAACACCATATATGAGAAATAACATAAGCATCAAGAACATCAGGACAACAAAAATGCCAGTAAAAATATTGGATAAATAGACCTGGGAAAAAAAAAAAACAAAAACAAAACAAAACATGTCAAATATATTAATCAATTATGCTTCATGTTTCCAATGAAAATGTTTCCTGTTAATTGAATAATCTATAAACAAGAGCTGTTCTCAAATGAAACCAAATAAATCAGAGCTTGATGATTTTTCTGACCTTTCCTTGTTCATCTGTGATTTCTATTGTTATGAACTGTGCCAAAAAGACCAGGAACAAAAATACATTGAATGCAATAAAAGCTAGTGAAGATTTGCTGAGGAAACGTGGCTTGTCAAGCCGCAGACCAACCACATGAAATGTCTGCAAGAGAGCAAAAACAAAAACAAAAAATAAAGGAGTGTTACTGTAGAAGGATTACTACTGTCAATCTCAATTTATGTTTATGAGAGTATAATGGTAATTTACCTCTGCCCAAAAACAAATAATTAGAGAGAATCCAGAAATAATAGGTGGATAGTACGCATTAAATAGATTGATTCCTAACCAGGCAGGAAGGTACCTCTGAAAAAAACAAAAACAAAAAAAATTCATTTTCTGGCAACTCTTAGCTTGGCTATCAATACAATAAAGATTGAGTAAAATTATCACTTTCACTTAAAATGGATAACAAGAGAGAGAATTCAAAATATTTCAAGATAAAAAGAAATCTAAATTTACCTGAACTGAATAATACACTCCCCTTGATCCACAAGCTATAATCATACAAATGTACAATGTCTTTTGCACTGTCAGCCGGCAGGCTTTGGCTATGCTTGGTCTCTTCAGCTTTTTAAACTCTGATCTAACACAAAGGAACTGAAAATACAACAGAGGAAATATCAGTGTTAGCTTCAGCAAAGTTATGGTCCAGGGTACATGTAGTTGTTGACCCAGTGGTAAAGCCGAATGGTAAAATATTTGGCTGAAGGACACAACATTAAGACCAAACTTTCCTCAATTAGCTCACATCTGAAACTTTCTGGCCCTTCTTGAGCCACTCCATACTGCCACCATACCACATTTTTTTTACAGTCAAATTATGTTTAAAAAAATATATACATATATATGTAGCAAATGCTGTTGGGAAAGTGCTCAATACACATGAGTGTAGAGCAAAATACAGTTCAAAGTGACTAAAATGAAACATGCATGATTCCCTGTAACTACGAGTTTCGTGCTTACCCACTCGTCAAACAGATTAAACTGATCTGACACTTGTCAGACAGATTAAAACTGTCTGACGAGTGCATAAGCACGAAACTCAGAGTTACAGGGAATCATGCGTGTTTCATTTTAGTCACTTTGAAATGTATATATATATAGGTCATATGATCCTACATTTTGTGTCATACATACACTTCGTTTAATTTTCCTCCTCTCCATTTCCAACTTAAAAAAGTCTGATCAAAAAAGTCTGATCTGCTAGGGTGTAGTCCAAAGAGGATGATATCTGACACTAAATGGAATTCAATTCAAGATTCCTAAGAAAAGGGTGGAAGGGAAACCTCAACCACCACCACCACTAGTGAGAAAGTGCAAGGGGGAGGGGGTGGGGAAGAAAAGGAGTTACATCCTGGCTCCCAAGTAAAGATAAGGTTTAAGTTATGCATAAACCAACTACCTAGCTTTCATTCTTAAATACACTTCCTGTTTAAAGCTGTTTACTTTTCATCATTCTGTTATTCCTTAACCACTATTTCACCCTTAAGCTTGAGTGACCGAGACAGAATTCCTCCCAACAACATCAATACCATATCAAGCAGACAAGTGATTAATGAAGAATATCAACTAGGGGATAATTAGCTGATCCAATACCAAATTCTCCAAACTTGCATATGCAATTTATAAGAATTGAATGGCAGACAGTAAGGAGAATCACTGATGACATCTTAGGAGCAAAAGGGTTAACCAGTACAACTACCAAGTTTTCTACAGTATTTGTTACATACCAGTTGAGTTGCAGACACTGCAGAAACAAAGAAGAAAACCACACTAAAACCAATGAAGTATCCTATGTTTGCATCGTCACATGCTCCACCGCTATATTTGACCTGAGGATAAAAAAAATTAAAATCAACAGAATTCAAGACAGGTTTTCACCTCATAATATCAGGACAATATCAAGCAGACAAGTGATGAGATTACAGAAAAATATTAATTGCCGGTGGGAGATTATTAGTTGATCCAATACCAAATTCTCAGAACTACATGTAGCATCAAAATAATTGAATAGCAGAAAGTAAATGGAATTACTAATAAAATCTTGCGATTGGAAGGGTTTAGTAACAAAAAGAATTTTTTTTCACAAAATCTTTTCTTTTTTTTTAACCTAAGATGATGATACAATTTTCAGAATTGCAAATGCTAATACAACAATGTCTTCTGTTAATGGTAACCCTTGATGCACATTTCTAAAGTTTAGATGTTTTGACCACAACAAAATAATTAGAAAAGTTTTCAAGCGAGCAGAATATGGTAAATCTATCTTAACCCTTTAACTCCCATGAGTGACCTAACCAAACTTTCTCCTTACAATATCAATACAATATCAACCAGGTAAGTGATGAGAATAAAGGAAAATATCAATTTGAGGATAATTAGTTGATCCACTACTAAATTCTCTGAACCAACATTATAAGAATTGTATGATTGACAGTAAGAAGAACCACAAATTTGATCTGGGAGTTAAAGGGTTCAAACAATTTGATCACTACAATTTGATCAAACATACATGAGTACACATGTTTAAATATAAACAAGCAAATCAAAAATTGTCTGGGTTCTCATGTCTTTCTCTCATTGGCTCACTGTCATAAATAACTGAATTACAATATGATACTTAAAATATATTCAAAAGCCCTAAATCAAGTAGAAACAAGGGCAGTTCCCAGATGCAAGAGTATTACTAAGTCAGCTGTTGAAAATCAAAGCCACTAAGTTTAAAGATACTACAAGCCACTTTTTACAGTGCACATGTAATGGCATGAGTTGCATTTAGACATGATTTGATGCTACTCTGGTTTAGAGATTAAATGAATGTAACCGAGAAGTAACAATTCATAGACCCAATGTTTTGACACTCCTGTCTAGTGCCTTCATCAGGGGTGATCTCACCACTGCAACAAGAGGTCCTTTTCTATGCTCACTAATTAGCTGCCCTTTTTTCTGACGAGGTGGAAATAGGTATCAGGTAGTAAGCCATCATCATCACTATCTAAGGAGTGTAGGTGGAAATGATATGCCAGGCTTCCAAACAAGGCACTAGTGGCAATGTTGATTCGTATTGATAATTTTAGAATTATCCCATCCAGTTGTATGGTAAGTCAGGCATGTGTGCTCCCACAAAGCTGAATTTTCTTTTTTGCAAAAGAAGAGAGCTTTTTGATGATGCTCTTTCAAATGCGCACCAAACTGACCTTTGGTCTGTCAGATATACTTGTGATCACAGTCATTACATAGAATAGAATAAATAGCATCAGGTTATTGTTCCTTCACAACAGGATCCTAGGGTTTGGCAAAACTATGCCCTAAAGTCTGAAAAGGTTTTTGAGCAACTTACCAAAAACCTGTTGACAGTAGGTGCCACTATATACAAATTGCATACAATACCTCACTTTTGACTCTAGCCACCCTATTTGCCATAAAAAGTCTTAAGCTAAAACTTAACTCAGGACGGCTGACTGTCTACCATCTTCACTCAATTCAAAGGCTGAGGAGAAGAAATATGTTTCTGATGTCCTAACGGTTAATGGCTATACCATTACATTTCTCTATACCTGCCAGAAATCAGTCACAACTAGTAACACTCCTGATGAGAAGGAAGCAGCGACTGGTTTTGCTGTTATTTCTTACATTCAGGGTGTTATGGAACCCAACAAGAGAATTTTGAATAGCCACAAAGTTTAAGTTGCTGATGAAGGCACTAGATAGGAGTGTCAAAACCTTGGGTCTATGAATTGTAACTTCTCAGTTACATTCATTAAATCCTTAATCCAGAGTAGCATCAAACCATGTCTGATTGTCAGCCTGGTTGCCTTGTGAACTTAAATATATCATGAGTTACATTTATTTCATCATCTATCTGCAGTGACAAAAGAAACAACACAAAACCAATGTTCACCACATTATGCTAATAAATCTGTCAATCTCGCTATGAGACTAAACAGTATCTCCTCTTGATGGGATTCACAAAAATGGAAAAATTTAATTCTTACACCGAAGATTTACAACTACATCAAAATCTTCCACCATCATTTACCACAATATGCAAATTTAAAGACGTGATTGTAGCCTGTGTATCAAAGCTGTTTCTCAGGGGGTCTGCAGATTATGGTTTGCTACCACAAATCTCCATTGCTTGGTGATATTCAAAATCTTGTTCAGCAATGTAAATCACTTCTTTTTTAGTAGGCATGTGCCACTGATCGAAGATAAAGTTGAACTTTACTTTTCACATTAAACATCAGGTTAATTGTCAACACGTAATTTTTGTAATTTTCGTAAACATCAGTACATATTTACATATTTTGGTGTATAAAAAAAAAGAGAAAATGTACCCTGAGAGCCATTTTAAGAACTCAATTGATCTGAGTGGAAACTAGAAACAAACGAAATCTCAGAAGAGTTTCGCGTTCTGTTTCCAGTAAACATTCAACGATGCGTAGAGAGAAAAGTAATTAGGAAAAAAGGATATTACTTAAATTTGTTCACTCTGATTTTGAAACGAAAAAGGCTATGACCTTTCACATTGTGAGTGAACAACGTTATCGTACATTTATTTTTTTCCGTTTTCTTACTGACATGAGACAATGCGGGAGATCTCGACACGGAATGGTTGAGGTCGATAGGAACTTTCGAAAACGTGTATTAAAACGAAACATTCCTTGCAAGGATTGAGTATACAATAGCGCTCCACAGTTGACCTTACAAAATAAGTTGTGACTATGAAGTTTAAAGACAACTTTCTGAACATATTTAAAATAAATTCGGTACCTCACAGATGCAAGATCCCCTAACGCACAAGCCATGGTCGTTGCAGTTGCTGGGGCAATTAGTCGAACTTCCATCGCTCATTTTCAATAGAAAAAAGCTCATTTTGGAGCAAAAAAATCGCTTAATCGTTAAGTTGTCAATCTACCACCACACATGACCTACTTGCGAATTAATTTGGTTAAGAAATTTCGTAATTTCCAGACGTTATGTTCAGCCGTCGTTCTTACGACGTTTTTTGTCAATCGCCACTACACTCTCTCTGAGGGACTGGGTACGGGATGAGTGGAGACAAGGACGGCTGTCATCGCAAGCTGCCCACATAGGAAGAACCGCAAAATTTTAACCAGCTTTGAGTTTACTTTCGTTTATGCGATGCGTGGTCCCTTTCTCTGTGGTTTTCCTCAAGCCACAACGGTCATCAACAGTGTTGAGGACAACACTGGTGAAACAAGCCAAGCTGCTCTTAAGGATGAAAACAATCAAGAATCAAAATTCGATACTCTTCAGACTTTCGATAGTCATGAGACCTACCATAATTCTTCCGCTGTGAGAGTGTTTTTGTCTCGAATTAACATTGATCTCACGCTATATCGGATGAACACTAAGCAGAAAGAAGGACATTTGAAACGTAATTAGACACTTCCACAAAATTTCTTCCCCAAAAAAAATATGAAATATGTTAATGATGGCTTTAGGACTAGTTCATAAATTGTCTACACTTTACCATTAAGATGATTAGTTTGTATTTAAATTTATAGTTTCTGTTATTTTTGGACAAGGTAATCTCGTTCTTTTTCTATTTTCTCCTCTCTTTGAGATACTTACGCTCTAGCGCTTCTCCTCGATCCCAATCGAAATAAATTTTTTTATGACTGCTGTTACTAAATTTCCTCTCTCAGATTCCAGTGCCATGTCAGGTATTTCTTTTCGTGTTTGTGTCACATGACCATCACAACATGATTCCATAAATCACAAGATAGTGGTAAAGACTGATTTTAGATAGATTCCAGGATCCTGCACATACCCCAGATATAATTCTTAATCTATAATTATGAATGAAATATATACTTCCGTGAGGAAAGGTATTTCATTTCGCGCAAGCAGAAAATTCTCATGTTTCCAAGAGAATAAAAAATATTCTCTCCTTCACTTTTCGATTAGTGGATAGTGCCAATTCAATCAAAAGACGGACGTGACCACAAATTGTATCATATTATCTTACGCGCGTGATATGTCACAATATCAGATGAAGACAAATACATTTTTTTTAGAAATCACAACACGAATTGATTGTCTTTAGAATACCCGTCATGGCTCGCCATGTGGAAGATGTGGTGACCTTCAATCAGATGTTCTTTTTTTATTTGTGTAGTGCCCCCGACGAAATATCCTTGGAATGCCTGATAGCGGGTTGAAGACGCGGTGTCTTAATACCGTAAGACTGTCAGGCAGGATCACCATTTTCTGTAATCACGCTTGAGCAATACGTTTCCTCTCGCAGTGCCTTGATCAAATAGCTTGCGTCATATCGCCAAGGAAGCATCACGGAAAGCTAACGTTAGAGACCAGGGAAAGAGGACTGGAGAGAGGAAATAGACCCCTATGGACCAAAATCCTGTCCAGGGGAGGGTGTGCCAACGCTCCTCAGCGCCTTGCGTTCTAAAACCGAGATAAGTTTTTGCAAGATGCGCCCTTGATCGTCAATTTTCCGGACTTTCGGAAATATTAAAAATGCATCGATATGAAATTGTTAGGAGCCATATTTCTCACAGTCAATAATCATCCGTGTCCACTTCGACTTAGCATCAATTATTCTCTTGCCTAGCTCTAATCAGTTGGAGGCATTTCATTTATTTTCTTATCTGTTTTATGTTATTTACAATTCAATATTCTGTTCGTATAAATCACGGGCTAAAGTCACGTGATCATGAGTAAACAACTTTTCACTTATGAATTCTAAGAATGACCAAAACAGAATTTCTCCCTACAATATCAATACGATATCAATCAATGAAGTTTTGAGAATGAAAAAAGACATCAACAAAGGATCTTTAGGTGATCCAATGCCAAATTCTCCTAACAATCATCATAAAAAACCCAGTTAAATGGCCAAACGTGCTACGAGTCTCCTTGAGCTCAGTGCCTTCCTATTAGGACGACCCGGAGTTCCTTTTTTTCTCGGAGTATGCCTTTGTCGTTTATTGAGTAATATCTCCTTTTACATCATAAGAATTGAATGGTAGACGTACTATTTAAAAAAAATGAGTACGAGGGTTTCAACATGGTTTCCAAACACGAGAAAACTGATGAAAGCACGAGGCCGCAGACCGAGGGCGTTTATTGTTTTCGAGTGTCGATGATGACGAGTGTTGATTTTTTCCATGATGAAACCTGATGCACGAGTTTTTTGAAACAGCTTCTTAATCGCGTCTCAGGAATATAAGAAAATACAAATATTCACGAATTGTTCACATGCTGTCGGCAAGTTTGTTGTCACGAAAAATTTTATTATTGTGGTGATTTGTCTTTTCAGAAAGGGTGTGATGATAAAATCAAGGTTTAATTTGGAATTCTTCACTCTCTTCTGCAATGGCCTTATAGTGATAATGTTTTCTTTAGAAAATGTATTGTTACCTCTCATTAGAAAGGGTGTTGATAAAGGTTGTTTGTTCATGTTGGTGTCTTTGTTTTAAATATTCAAATACGTGTTCTCAATATTCAAATTAAGAAATGATTTCACTGGAGTACGATGCATTATCAAACTCAATTGTTTGGGTTTGATGTCATACGAAACTCACGAATATTGCGTCATTCCAGTGTTTCACCGGGGTCTCAAACCACTTGCACGTGACGAAATTGGCATGTCATGGTTGGTTGATCACCATATGAATAATTAATGTAATTAATTAAAGTGGATTGTTCACATTTCCTCCTGTGCCACGTGTTTCAATCAGCTCTCTCTAAACTCTCTCTATGATAACCCAAAGTTCACTGACAGCAGTCCCAGCCATTTTTCCACACTCCTTGTGACTCAAAGCCTATAACGGTGCTGTAAATCTGAAAAGAGACGTCAGTATATACCCAAAGTCAACTTGTAACTAGACTAAACACCAGATGTTTCTTGTTTTGTTCAGCCCGTGATGAAGATAGCTGTATGACAGTGAGACTGTTAAGATTCTTTTCTTCAGTCAAGATTGCTAATCAGCATTTGATTCCCAGCAGCCTTTCATTATAGTTCTTTTATCATAAACTGTGACTGTAAAATATTTAGTTCTAAGCTATCCCTACAGGATCCCTATCTTTAAAGAATTCTGTGTCGGTCGGACGAAACGCTTTGGAGTGAAATCTTATTCTCACAGCCAGAACTTAGCAGTGCTGCTCGCTGAGTTAGTCCCTTCGTGTGTACCGATCCCTATTACTACAAAGCTGGCAAAAACTCACATCACAAGGTGACCTGTAAAATGTTTCCAGAGAAAATTCTGTTCTGTCCTAATGTTTTGAAAGGGAATTGATGGACCTGTACATGTAAGTATTGTTTACATATGAAAAACATCCTATTTATACCCACCTTGGCTTGACACAATTTGATTTTTGACGAAGAATATCTGAGAGATTTTACGACTAAAATTAGCTAGCTTTCTTTAGGGATTGACGGTAAAAAATCGTATGTTCACGACGGTGAATTTTTTGTCATTTGACGGTTCACGACTAACCCCACTGAGACCCTCAGATACGACATTACATTGGGCTGGACTTATTCACAACCGCTGACCAGGATATGAACGCGTGCCTCAAATCCGAATATGGTTATTAAACTAGCCACCGTGAATGGTTGTCGAGACTCTTTGTTTGAAAATACAGCATAATATGTTAATTAATAATCAGAATTTGATTCCCGGAGGCCTTTAAAAACATGATTTCAATTGAAACTTTGAGAGAGAGACTAGCATTTTTCTGTTCAACTTTGGACGCTTCGCTAGGCACAAAACTAAAACTTCAGAAAAAGTCTTTGTCAGTAAATTTCATATGATAAAAATAAATGTCGACTTCTTACTTTATCAAGGTGTGCACGGCTGTTTATATCTCTATTCAGTCAGTTTTGCATGTTTTAAAATTTACACGCATGAAAAGACAGCATCTCGCTCTTCGCGTTTTTAATTTGTTGCTGTCGAACAAAGAGCATCCAGACTGAAGCCCGAACGAAAAACCAAGAAGAGTGTCGATAGTTTCGGTAAGCTTGCGAAGCTTTGGTCGTTGGTCATAATTTGTTTGTATTTCATGAGTTTTTCACTGGTAGGTGAAAATTAGTCGGCTAATCGCTGTTACCTAACTATAAAGGTATTGTCTACCTTCGGATAAAGGCACGGCATAATAATTTTATTGATGTTGCTTAACGATAATTTCGTTTCCAGCAGTGGTAATCATGGTAATTGCTGTCGATCGGACGCAGTTTTAAATCAAGGGGAAAACTGAGTTTTTTCCTATCGATCAATGATATTCAGCGTTAGAATGATTCGAAACATTCGATAAAAATTTAATGGAATTTTACTATAAAGAGCGTAAATTATTATTGTAATACAATGTTGCCGTAATAGTTCACAACTGTAAGAGAATACGAAGTCTTATCAATAACCGTATAAGATTTATTTATTCATTTTTCTTGTGCAAACTGCGATGAATGTACATCTTTGTAAACACTGAAGAATCTCTTTTTGTTGCGGCTTCCTGGGTTTACTTCAGTTAATTGAATTTTTATCCATTTTTTCCACGCGGTCAGTGTAAACGATCTGTGTTCTTATTTTTATGAACAAAACAACTTGCGTTAACCTATTTACATCGAAGAAAAGAGAGTGCCTCGGGTGTAATTCGGGAACTACCTTTATTTTCCTTTCAGTAGAGGAAAGGAAAGGCGAAATTAGTAAAAAAGCGTGTTTAGTCTGATGATAATTTCTACAGAGTTCTTCTTTCTTCTCTGTTGAGTATCCATTAAGCTCGAGACTTCGTTTCGTAAAATATCCCGCAGTAATGATGAATCAAACTGTGATCGCTAGCGAGGAAACCACGAAAAAAGCAGAAAAAAGAAAACAAAGCCTGAGGCATATATTTTCATTGGAGAAATTTCTTTGTGAATAAGACACCGTTAGAACGAGCGATGAAATAGCAGTTTTTTTTTTCCAAATGCACGACATTCGTTATACCCTTAGCTCAAACAGAATGGTCTTTTTCAGTTATCAGTCACACGTCAAACAGAAATTCAAGTTTTCGGAATATTGCGTGTCTGTTAGATAAACAATTTTAAAGGAAAATTCAACTTTAAGGCAACGATGTTTGCGCAAGGAAATAATCATAAATGTGTTCAGTTGAAGTACATCAATTCTCTGATAAAACGGCCTCTGTTTATTTCTAAAAGCACCAGCGGGAACACGCTTTTTTTGGTCAACATACCACAGAGTTTATTGAACAGAGTCAATTAAATTACATTTTAGCTCAGAATCGCGCTCTCCGTGAAAAATGTTTGCATATAGTTATTTATTCAGTTAGTTTTAATACTCTTTTACACTCACGGTAAAAAAATTTTATTTTCTCGAATTACAAATGTCCTTTTCAAACCGGTTGAATGAACGTGAAAATGATTGGTGTATAAGGATATCAAAAGTAACAAGAAAACATTACCATAAAGCTTACAAAATTTATTTAAATTTTTGTCGAAGAAATGAGAAAATCAACAGCTGTGGCACAGCTGTTCTCACGCAAACAATGAAAAAATCGCCCATCTGTCTTATCGAGCTCATGGCACCCCACAGAAACAATTGAATGGCCGGATCATTGGTTCGATTCTAATTAGGAATATGATATTTTGTGCAGAACTTCTTTTAAGGAAACGTTCCCAGGAAATGAGTTGAATGATGCTTTGTTTAAATGCGCGAATAATTTATTACGCTATAAGTGCAAGGAGTTGATCAGGAATAACTCTGTCTTTGTGACCGACTAGACTGAATTACCGCCATTTTTCCGTTCGACGCAAGTGAGTCGCTCGTCCGTTTTGATACCTTGACATTTTGTTGGCTTTGTTAATCGTTTACTCTGTAAACACATTTGGTTATGAACTAGATTCTCAAACCGTCGGGAAAAACTTCATTGCGGTTACGTTATAAACAGGTACGTTTGGCTTTTGATAATAATTTAATTCATTTTCTACCGCTGAGGAGAATTAAAACAAAATTTGCCACTTTCGGTCGTTTTAATCATGAAAACTGTAAGCGAAGACAGGTAGTCGTTTTAACGAAACTATGGCCAATTTACCAGGCTAGGGTAAACACAAAGTTTGTTTAGCGAATACTGCACGCATAAACGACCGAGTCGTCAAAAGGTTAATTATCTACCTTGTTAAACGGAAATTATATTTGGTTGCTCTTCGCTCATATCCATTCACACGACATCAACTTCGAGATTTGTAGGAGCAGGGACTATGGACCAAAAATAATTTCTCAGCATCGAAAGTTAAGGAAACCTGAAATGCAATTGCCGACTTTGATTTGTATCCAAATAGCCTTTTTATAACACCTGCTGATGAAAATTCAAAAGAGCTTGTACAGAGCCTGATATGTTTACTCGGCTTCGCATCAGGTAGGAAAAGTTAACTTCTGACTGCCAGTATCAGTTGAAATTTTTAACATTAAAGTTTTGGAAGGAACATCATACAGAATCAATATCAAATCGAGTTGAAATTCCTTTTTAGAAAACTATTTCTTCTTTCTAGAAATAACAAAAACGAGACTTCGTAGACATGTGCGATTTTCCCAGAAATGATGTATGCATATTTAATTATGTAATAGAAAAAATTGTGTTTAATTTTAACACCCAATTTACTTGGGAACGCAAAGAAAAATATGGGGCGCGTTTAGGTCTTCATAAAGATCAGCCTAACAAGTTGAAAAGTGAAAAAGCACTTTTTAAAGACGTTTTACGATTATTTCGCATTGCAATTTACTACCTCAATGCTCGCTGTGTAGTGAATACTAAAACAAAATGTAAATAAAAATGTAGTTTAATATACTCATGTTGCTATTTTGAGCTTTGAAAAAGTTTGACTGACTAGGTCTTTAGCGAGGCGGCCGTACGTCCGACTAACATTTAGCAATGTCTTATTGACTTTTACGGCATATCAGCTTGTTGCCCTTAATGCTGCAGTTATCATCTCGTCTTCAAAAAACGAGATAGGTTCATTTAACATCCCTCATGGTTGTTCAAAGAGAAGTAGAACACAGCCTGAGAGAGTCTTTGAGATAAATACAATCTAACTGCAAGTTAAAAACAGTACAACTAACTTTAACACTGGATCGTTTTCAGCAGAATCAAGAGGATAGCGAAAGATGGAAAAGTCCTATGCAAGTAATCGCATCTGTGCCATTTGCGGGGATCGTTCATCAGGATTTCATTATGGCGTACAAAGCTGTGAAGGCTGCAAAAGTTTCTTCAAGCGAACCGTCCAGAAGCAACTTCATTACACATGCGTAGAGAACATGTCATGCCAGATAGACAAGAATAACCGTATTCGATGCCAGTTTTGCAGGTTCCAGAAGTGTTTATCCTTGGGCATGCTGAAAGAAGGTAGATAGTAAAGAAAACTTGAGAACTTTTTGTTTCATTTGGTAAATAGCTTGTCCAGTTTTTGAAAGCGAGATCTTTTCACATTTTACTCTTTTCTGATACGATTAAAAAAATAAGAGCAGATAAGTAGACTGTGTCTATAGCAACCTGCTTCGAAAATCGATAACTCAAGTAATGAAAGGACAAACCCGATATATCGCTCGATAATCGGTTTCTATGTCGGTCGATAGTCGGCCGGTTCTTGATTTACAGTCGACTAACAGTCGATGAAACTCGGGCGATGGTCGCAAACACCTAAACGATAATCGGTTGATGTTTTGAACGAAACTTCGGCCGATCAATTGACGAAAGCCATAGCATAGAAGATTCAATGTAAGAACGTAGAAAAAGCAAGTCATGCGCAGCTTCTTCATGAACGAACAAAATTTTAAGTCTACTTTCATTAAACAAAAATTGATACAAATCATAACTGGTAAGAAATTTAATGTTAAAAGCTAAATTTTTTCGTTTTTCTCACGATGTAGTCACGTGTGATGTAGATCGCGACGTTTCGACTGCATACTGCTAGTCTTCTTCAGGCAATAAGGTCGACTGGTCATGTGTGATCCTATAAGGCATGATGCTCTGCTGTGATTAGTTGTTATTTAACAGCTCTGGTTGGTGCATTTCGATCCTTGCTGTTCACTCAGTGATCTGCTCCCTTGGCGGACCGCTGTCGCACGGCTCTCCTGTCGTTGTGTTTTTTGATCGCGGGCATCCACGCTTCTGGAATTTCTATTCCACTATCCCTGTTGATGTTGTTAGGGTGAAGTCTTATATGAATTGCCTCTTTGACCCTACGCGTGTAGTAATAAGGGTCACGATTAATAAACTTTACTTCGTTCCAGAATGGCTTGTTTCCGGTGTTGTGGGCATGCTCTGAAACGGCGGAGGTCTCGGTACGGGCGAGTCGAATGCCTCGATCGTGCTCCTTAATTCTGTCTTGCATAGGTCTTCCAGTCTCTCCGATATACACCTTGCTGTATTCACAGGGAATCCTGTAAACTACGCCATCTTGTTTAGCCGGGTCGACAACATCTTTTGGTCGTACTAACCGAGATCTTAGCGTAGTCTCCGACTTGAAAACAGCGCCTTGTAGGCAACGGCGAAGCTGTTCGGACAGACCTTTGACATAAAGTAAAACCGCAGTAGCTTTGAACTCGTTAGCGGGTTCGGCACTGTTGTTTGGTTTTCCGGTATTGGTAAGTTTCTGCAAGAAAGAAAAAGGATAACCATTAGAAACCAGAACAGATGTCAAATGTTTTTTCTCCTCGAAGATGACGGAGGGTTTTTTTACGAGACGTTTGGCGCGCTCGTAAAGCCACTTAACAATACTGCGTTTTACTGATTGAGGGTGGTGTGAATCATACGCTAAGTATTGATAGGTTCGCGTGGACTTCCTGTATACGCTGGTGGTGAGGGGGCCGTCAGGTTCTCTTAAAACTGCGGTGTCTAAGGAAGGCGAGTTTGTTTTCTTTCTCTGTCTCCATGGTGAAGCGGATGAAGGCTGATCTGTGCAGGCGTTAGCGTGGTGCGGTCTACAAGGCCTGGCGGTCGCGCTCGTAGATCTTTACGAACAACACGGTTCTTGATGCACCTCGTTAGGAAGGTGAGATGGTTGGTGTAGCGTGCGAGCTTGCTCGAGCAGCGCTCATGTCGACGAATCAACCTTAGGGCTGCGTGTTGGAAAATGAAAACCATGTAGATAGGTCACATCTACATGATCAAGAGAACATCAGCTTTTATTACATTTTTAACTTCGGATATTCCGATTACTTCACACAACTACGAGTATCAGCTCATATTCCCAGTCATCTTATAAGAGAATGCACTGCGACGTGTTGGAAAATGAAAACCTTTGCCGAAAACATTCAAACGTTCAGGATTAAATGAAATTTAATAAAATTGATATATAGATTTAGCCAAGCCTAAAAGCGGAGCTCGCATTTTTTTCCCGCACGTCTCAAGGGCACAACGCCTTTCCCGGCCAGGACTAGAACCCCGGTCGTCCGACTCGGAGCCCAGTGCACTGACCACTGGACTACAGGACAAAACCGTGGCGTTGGCGTGCCCGCGGTACAGTTGACCACGCATGTTAAAAGTAGCACCTTGTACGGTCGTACGGTCGCACATCCAAATTTTTTCAGCTTGATGGGTTACTACTATTTTGTATAATTATGGGGCTACGCTCTGCGAGCTCCGCTATTATTCCATTGGTGCTTATTGGATACACAGATTGGTTATCGCCTGGCTATTTACCATCTTATAGTCAACGCGCACTCGTGGAATAATTGTCACGTATTCTCTTGACATGACCTAATCTATTATTTTTGAAAAAGACTTAAAATAAAGATACCGAGAGAAGCAAATCAAAGTGGAATTCCTTTTTTTGTTTCACCATTAGCTGTCCGAGAGGACCGAGCACCCGGCGGCAGACCAAGGATCAAGTCCCTGATCGGAATGAAGGAGAATGCGGACACATTCGTTTCGTCTGAGTTAATCACGCAATTGATCCAAGCACGCCCTGATGCTACTCCCAAAAGAAGGTTGGTTGGCTTCAGCTTTGCTTGCTAGTATGGCGAGAGTTAGATGCTTTATTTCTTAGTCGTTCAGGCGGTGAATAGAGCGCTTTTCGATTGAGTGACATAAACCAAAACCCTGGTAATCACAATAAGAGTCAAGAAACAATGAAGAAACTCGATGAGAAGTCAAAGTAATAAGTAAATTTTCTAAAGCCCGAGAGGACGTAGGCGACCAAGTCGTGATTCGTTTCAGTTTCGCACCTGATTGGTTGGGAGAGTGGTGCAAGTTTTCTGCACTTATCACAGAGCTAAGTAAAGCAAACCCAATGCAATTCCGAATTGTTCTCGACACCAAAACAAAATTTTCCACTAAGGTCTTGGAAAACAGTTTCATTTTATGCACCTTTTTCACAAGGAAAAACGGATACGTAATTAATGTTTGAATAGTCTGAAAAAGGCTATTATCCTGGGCATTATCTATGTAAACGTTACTGATTTCTAAACTCAATTTTCTATGGTCAGTCTTACATTTCAACACACGCATGGTGGTGGAAATTGACGTATCCCAAGGCTTTCGTCACAGGACTCTTTCTCTATCCTATAATTTTCTCTTGGCTGTATTGATTACCAGGCATCGCTTTCTATCAAGCGTACTTTGATTTTCTATCGAGTAAGTTCAATTAAAATTAAAATTAGGGGAAAGTGTGTTCTATTTTTAATCGAATTTTCCGAGGGTAAACGATATAGATTTAACTGAGGAAGGAAGGGTTAGGCTTCTAATAGTCTGTCACATTATTTACTTTTTGTTTCAGACCGGACTATCTAGAGCTCGGTTTTACCGAGATTTGCCCTTTGAACCCTGTAGAAGTAGTGATGGAGCTGGTACTGCAAGAAGTGGACCTAATATTGGCCTGGGCCTTCAAAGTTCCCGGATTTAGAGAACTTAACAGAGAGGATCAGGCAAGCCTCGTTTCCACAGGTATTAAAAGTAGCTTTTGTTTGACAAATTTGTTCATGGACATCACCTGTACCACTGAAGAAGCGAACAGCCTGCCGCAAGCAAGGCACCCGGAGAACTACGATCTTTGCGCAGGAAGTGACTTATGCAAGGAGAAATATCGCAATTTAATTCCTTTTTTCTTTTTGTAGCTTTATTAGAGCTTTTGGTCCTCCGCGTATGTCAGCGGTCCAGTGCACACCAGGGCTCAGTGCTGCTAGCAAAAGATGTGCTTCTTACTCCTGAGCACTCTTTTAATCTGGTCCTGGAACAATGGTCATCACAGTTGGCTTGTTTTGCTTACAAGTTACAAAGCTTGCAACTCGACATGGCAGAATTTGCTTGCGTAAATGCCATTATGCTCTTTGAGCAAGGTGAGTTATCCCACAATTAACGAGGGGATAAATAGGGGTATGCAAACCCTCAGACCTACTATAATTCAATGAGCAAATCCGTTTAGAAAATATCTAACCCTAATCCGTTTGAATTTGTGAAAAACGTCAAGGAACCAACTAGCACGCACAAAACCGATGAAGCCTCTGTCAATTTGATGAAGCTTTTGGGTTTCAACGAAAATTTATGGGGTTCGCTGAATTTAGGGAATCTTACACATTATTGCTACCCTAAGATTACCCAATCTAACAACTATCCAGAAACCTTTGCACGGGAACTGTTACTCCTTTATTTATGATGATATCTGTTGCTTCAAATTACATCATCTCCTTTTCACAGAGACGAGCTCAGGACTAAAAAACCGGGAGATGGTGGACTTCATTCTCAATCGTTCCCTTGATGCTTTGCGAGACTACATTAAGTGTTCATATCCCGACAAGCCCAGCCGTTTTGCCCACATTTTGCTCCGACTTCCAACACTGCGCAGCGTCTGTTCTAGAATGTCGAATGAGAGTCTGTTTGCGCAGTCATTTCTCAACATGGCGGTCCCTCAAGTGTTGTCGTTTATTCTAGAAACGAAAACTTAGCTGAGTACGTCATAAAACTGAAAATTCGTCACATTTTGTTACTATTCACCTGGTACAACACAGCTGATATATGTTGTCCTAGAAAAAAAAAATCATATGTCAAAAGAGGTCCGCTGTGTGTACTTGTGTCTGTTACAGCTTTTAATATTACATTACTTCATTAATTTTGTTGGATAGAAACTTTACAAAATAAAACATTCACCTTAATGTGAGATGTAAGAACACAAATGAATTATGAAGATTACAATCACTAGTACTGCCTCAGATGCATAAATTAACATTGACAAAAGCTTTAGGTAAGAATCTTAGGAACCAATGTCAGAGCAGGTATTTAGCATTGAGGAGAAATTACAATAATAATGAATTTAGTGTTGTAACTAACTACTTGTTCTTGTATCATAGTTATTGATGCTTTGTCAACAAAGCGATAAATGATAATTGTTAAACTAAGAATAAAACCGTTCAACCAGGTGACCGCTTGATAAGTTTTATATCCTTTGCCCTCTATAACTTGTAAGGCATTAAGAAAATTATCATAACCAACCTGGGCCAAAACAGCTTCCCTCCCCTCCCCTCGCCCAAACTTAAACAATGCGAAATGAACTATTATACCATGCCAGACCTAAGTTAGAAGGGAATTAGAACCGAATCGTGCTATAGAAAACATTTTCAGTGTCTCTACGGAAAAAATTAACCCATCTCATAGCAGTCTGTAATCGGTAACCTGCTGGTACTTCAAGAAATTGAGGGGGTAGTTTGCAAGAGAAACTTCTATTGATTTTTTATACTTTGTCCAAAGGCCCACATCTGACGCATTGATGTTTCATAGAATCTTTATTATTATCGTTTTAAATTTTTCAAATTTAGGTCTTCCAAAGAGGTAGCTAGCAAACGGTACTTTACAAGTCTGAAATGGAAATGTTCTCTGTATCAAGCACAGAACCGTTATTTGTACCAATCTCGACAATCTTAGAAAAGAGTTTATTTGTTAGAGCAGGTTTCTCGTCGCTTAGAAAACGTCCATTCGACAGCATTTGTGAAATGTTTCTAAATAATTAAAAAGACGTGAAGGAGAAAAGGCTTAGGCAAAATTAAATCGCATTTTCGGGGAAAGTAGGGTAGAAAATCGTTTGAATCAAGTTGTGATAAAATTTGTCGAAACTTATTTTCTCTCTAGAAAAAGTTGAAAAGCACAATGAAGAGCAAAAGACCGAAAAAATCATATAAAAGACAGTATTAAGTTACCGTAGAATAAACTTGATATTCAGCTGTTTAAAGTGTCTTGGGATCTTTATGTAAATTTCTGATACAACAAACATTGTCAAAAGACCCTCCTAGCGAGATTGCTCGCTCGATTGAGATAGCGTGTAATTAATCGCGTAAAATTAAGAGGTAGTTGAGGAAAAAAAAACACGTAAACGTTGTTTTCTTTATTTAAGAAGAAACTTTCGGATCCGAAGCTCCAGGTTTTTATTCGTTTGTTCATAACTAAATCAGTTTGTTTAAAGCAACATATTTAGTTGATCCTATCAAATTCTGCGGGTGGTCTGATCTGCAATTCATGTTATTCTTCGCCGACTGACGTTGTTGATCCCCGCTCAGCGATACAAATAGAAGCTTCTTTGCCAAGGTAAGTTGCCTTACATTGAGTTTTTTGAAAAGTATCATATGCAGAATGTTCAGAAAAAAACTACATACTTTATTTCGGCTGTTTTAAAGGTGGACATAGGTCAGACGGGTATCCTTCAACATGAAATTTAGGGTTTGAACCGATGCTCATTGGTCTCCAATGTGTATTCATTTTATAAATATGATGATATTTCTGACTGTGAAGCCTGATGAGAAATGGCAACAGTTTTGCTTGACATCTATGTAAGCATTTTTTCATGATGCTTTCTCTAAAATCTAACCAAAAAAAAATTCGAATCAAGGTCGTTAAGCCAAAATTAACGCCTTGGAGATCCGTAATGAGTTCTTGTCGGTTCGGAATCGTGCCTCGTCAAAACCCAACGCAAAAGTGGTGTGAACAGCGCATAAAGTTTCTTAAATTATACCTTACATTAGACTAGACTCCTGAGAATTAGCTGAGCATTTTTCCTTTTATATTGTGACTATTTTTTTCCTTTGATTGTTCCATCCACTGGAATATACATCGGACCTGCCTTATTCTATGAATCATTCATCTCTCTTGAAAGAAACATATACACATTAATTTCTAGACAGGTCATATTTTTTCACAGCTTATTGAATCTCTATAAGAAATTATCTTTGGCCGCTATCTTCAATCCTCAGCTAAAATTCTTGTCTCGTTAATTCCTTAGCATTTACTTTAAACTTTCATTGAATGTTCTACATTTACTACATCCCTTCACATTTAATCAACAAATAGTATATGAAAGAGTCTGTAATTTTTGAAAGAAAGAGTGTGAAGGCAACATAACCTCCAAGACTTTACAAAGAAGTTCGACGCCATTAAGTTACATTACTTTACAGACTTATCAATATTCGAAAAGAAGAACAAAACTGGTAAAAGCATCCGTTACTGTGTCGATAGACCCCATGTCGATCGATTTGAAAGCTCCGCTGTGACTGGGTAATGGCTTTATAAAACACACATGCTTTCTATTTTCATCAAAATTTTACACAAATTAACCCATTTTATGTTTAACATTAAGTTTCAAGTATGTTCGGAGCTGAAGTTTAGTGATAAGAATTTATCTTTCAATGTTCTCTAACACGAGTCTTTTTATAAAATAGTCCACACTCTATATAAACGCACGTGTTACGTAATAGATTTAATAAAAATTAGACTTGCAAATTGAAGGCTTGAGTCTCCACCAAATAGCTTTCACAGAATACCTTCTTGTTAATGAAGGGTGGTGACTTGTATCAAAGTTTACGTGGTGTCAAAACAGATATATTCCTTATAATTAGGCTAATCATAGAATAGAGGTAAGACCTATGTAATCACTCTCTATTTGTTTAAGAGCTTAAATGGAATGATGTTCCAGCCGATGTTAATCATCTCTGGAGTCATCAGTTCTGCGGAGAACAAAAAAAGGAAACATGGTTTTCTTGACCTTCAAGTTCATTTGCGTCGTGGATTTGGCCAACCTTTAATTCTAAGTAGAGAATTAATTACAAAGATTTGATCTTCACGAGTTAAGACCTCAAAATAACAGCTTTTCGAGCGGAATTATCATCCACCAACGCAGGCGTTTAGAGCACCGCAACTAACGTCACCAAACACTCAATGATATACCTTACGGTTATTTTTTACCATAATACCAATTGTCTGTGTAATTTCTCATTGTCCGTTATCTCTGAGGCAAGTACCTTGAGCCATGTTTACATTTTTTTATAAAAGAACGGGAAGTTTTTCCCGAAGACGTTTTCCTTGTGCTTGACTCATATTTCAGTAACTGAATGAAACCTAAGACAAAAGAGGATCTGATGACCTTCCAGTCGGTAGTTGTTTAACCATTGACTTTAAAATGAAACATTAGAAGGACCACAGATCTTACGGGATTGTTTGCATTAATGTGACAGTCGTCAATTTGGCGTTATTTGAAACAGCGAATAATAGTTATGTATTATAATTGCACTATCCTTAGATGACGACAATGAGAGTCACTTACAAACAACAGGTGCAAGTTACTTAAATGTATAAGTTTTGTCCCCTGAACGAGTCTTGAGTAGAAGCATCATTTTTGAGCCATTCACGCCATTTTTGAACCATGTTTGGTAGCCAAAAGATCCCATGTCATGAACGAGCGTGAGACAAAGACGATATCATGGCGACTTGTGTTATTCAGAGATGGTAATTCGTGGTTATTTATTTCGTACAGATCGAAGCAAGTTCATTTCTATTGAGACGAAACGTTACACTGGAGTAACCAGCAAGTTTTATTGAAGGACAAGTCACAGATTAAGGTAACTGATCAAAATTATATTCGGGATCACCGCCGTTTTAAATGTCACTTCCCTTTATACAACCGTTTTTTTACCTTCCTTTAGGCAAAGAACTATCCTATCAAAATATTTCATCCAATCGCTCTGGCGAAGGGCTAACACTCGAAATGCCAGCTTTTAAACTCCTAACGGTGGCCAATTTACGTTTTCAACTCAGTTCAGAACACTAAATCACCCTCAAAATATTTTAGTTTGGTCCTTTCAGGCTCACTTTGACACGCCACTGACTTTATGAACATATAGCTGAAGTAGATTATTTCAATATTTCAAAGTGTCCGGTTTGCCACCTTTGGTAAAGCTAGATTATGAAGCAAAAGTAGAATTTGTGAAAATAACACTCATGACTGGTAATTGAAAAAGAAGAAATAGGTGAAAAAAAAACAGCTATTGTATTACTGACAACTATCTGTCTGTTTGTTCTTTACATTTCCATGTTCATATTAAAAACCGAATTAATGAGGCGAGGAAGAAGAAACTCAATTATTGGATTTGATTATGAAGACACTTTTGCTGGACCACATAGAAGCTAAATAAAAGCACGGATAGGTTTAGTAGATGCTATAGAATTATCAACCTACCAGTAATCTACCTCAAAATGTTAGAAAAAGTGAGAATATTTTCTCCGTTGTTTGGTGTTCTGCTGCTCAACCAGAAAACTGCACAAATTTGTTCTCAAAAGGCATTATAGCAAATCATCTCATACCTCAAAATTTTCTCCTCGCAAAACACTCAAAAGAAGTCCCGAAATCAGTGCTCGCATAGTTTTCATCCTACACGGCAGGTTACCAAATAAACAGGGAAGACTGTAAGCACTTTGACCCTGCTCCTAAATCAAGATATCGTTTTCATTATTTTGTCTTATTCTCTGTTTAGAGTAAAGACACTTCTTGACTTATGGATCAATACCAGTTCAACCTGTTTAACCAAACGTGCTGGAACTGTTCCACTAGTTTACCTGAACAAACAACTCCGGGATATACTCGAGCCAGTGAACTCTTAACTAAAAATGAAGCGATCATTCTCTCCATAATCTGCGCCTTGGCCAGTGTGATTGGAACCTTTGGAAACTCTCTCGTCCTTCTTGCCGTGCCCAGCAACAAAAATCTTCGCACGATCCCCGATCTTTTCATCACAAACCTAGCGTTCTCAGACTTCACAGTCTGTGCAATTTTTTTACCCATGTTTGTATACGACTTCAATCAAAACGTGGGTGAAAAATCGGAAGCCGAACTAGAAAACTTCGACCAGGTGAAAAGTTTCTTGGGGCATACCTCCATGGTTGCATCCGCCACTAATATGTTTGCGGTGACAGTTGATCGCGTCACTGCAATCAGATTCCCATTCAGGTACGCATTCATGGCGACCAAACATGCATTAGCAGGTATTCTGGTTGTCTGGATAATTTCTATCACATTCGGTGTCCTTTACGCTCCTAATTTGGTGTCCAGAATGTACATTGCCCTCTACTGCTCAGCTTTATTGATCACAACAATGATCATGTATGTCTACATCTTCATTGCCGCTAAACGCCAGGAAAACAGAATTCATAGCATGCAGATGGGAACAGATGGCGTCTTAGTAGAAAAGAAGGTAGCTAAGACCATTTTCACGGTGGTCGGAGTGTATGCGTTGTGTTGGTTACCTTTGCTCATGCTTCCAGCCATCATCGATTTTGAATCAAAACCAGATCAGTTTAAGAAAGGCTTCAACTGGGCTCAGTCAGCGCTCGCTTGTAATTCAGCCATAAATCCCTTCATTTATTGCCTGAGATGCACGAAATATCGCACAGCGTTTGGCAAAATACTGCGAATACAAAGGTGGATCGTTCGGCAGTAATCACTGAGCCCAATCACTCGAAATGACATTTGACAATAATAGATTAGTGAGACGGTTAAGTCGTGTGTAGGTGAAAGGAGGAGAAAATGAAAGAGGGGATGTATATTGCAATCGTTCACACCTTCACATCTTCATACCTAACAAATATTTTCACGTACCCCTACAAATGTTTTCACAGATTTTTCCAGAGGTGAAAAAATCTCACGAGGAGGTCGATTCCGCGGCTCGTTCAGTGGATCTCACAGCTTACGATTGCATGACGGCTGCCTTCTTTTATAAATGACTATTTCACAACATTTTATCCTTTTTTCCATCGGCTCAAATTGCAGAGCCAGATTAAAGTTGTAATGTACTGACTTTGTCATTTATGCAACTACTTTGTTTCTATTTATAGCTGGCTCGGTACTGTTTTAACAATAGACAATTGATGTCCTTAATGCACTATAAAAAGTACAGGTGTAATACGTAAAATCGGAAAACTAACCAAATCGCGAGTATCAAATGATACAAAGAATGTGGCAAAGACTTCTGGATTTCTCCGGTTGCTTTCTCGACTAGTTACACTGATTCAACGAGATTACGTACTTCATCAACCAAAACGTAACTTAATTTTCATACAGCAACTTCTGCTTACTTAGGCAGTCTTTTCCTTTTGGAAAAAACTGCAATGACAATAGCGTACAGTAATTTCAGTGAACTTTCAAAAGGAAATGAAGTGTTCATTCTCTCGTTGATCGGCTTCTAGGCGTGTATGATCGCACGAGTGGAAAATCTTCAGTTGTACTCGCCTGCAAAACAAAACGTTTCGTACGATACCCAACCTTCTCTTTAGAGACCTGGCTCTTTATGGCTATTATAGGGAGGAGGTTTGACATACGAACCAAAGGAAACATTTTGAATCCTCATAGTCGCCTTTCGGTAATTTTCCTGATCCACACGGCTTATAAACAAAGCAAAGAGGGGTGTGGCAAATAACTTATGTCAAAATTCACGCCTCTTATATGGCGCAAGAGAATATTCTCTTGACGGCGTCAGAGTCAGTCAACTCTGATGATGACTTCCGTTCAGGTTGTCGATACACCACGAACGACCACAGTCCTTTTCAAGTCTCCCCTGACTCAAACAATTAGACTTAACGATCTAACAAAATTCGAGTTATGTTTTAGGCCAAAAATTCCAAAAAAATCTATGTTTGAGTGCATTAGTGGTTTGAGGCATTCGCTTGTCTATCAAATTGTGACGACACGAATTGAACACGAGAAGATTGAACCCTGTGATACTCAGCAATAAATCATCTCCTTGTCAGCTGCGCATCTGAATAATTTAACGTCAAAAAAATAAACAACATATCCAGTTTAGTTTTAAAGCTGAGGGATTGCTTAACCCTGTAGGTTCTACATGGTACAATAAGAATGTAAACACACAAACCGAGGGAAGATAGATCCCCTGTGAATGACAGAAGTAGATCATAATTTTGTTACTTGGGCTCCATAATAAAACATTGGCCGAAAATTCAACATTACACCGAATTTAATTTTAATTTGATTACATAGGTTTGTATCTTCTATAAGACAGAGAAAGGGGCCGAAACCATTTATGAGCCTTGTTAAAGTAAAAATGTCACTACTGTATACATCACTTTGTTGTCAGCAGCTGCTCGCAAACTTGGTATTAACTTATTATCCTGTTCGCAAAACACGCCATTAACTCACTCTTATTGCTAAACAAAACAGTCCGTTGGTTTTCCGTTTTCTTTCAAATAATAAAAAAAAAAAAACCTAAAAACCCTTGGAACCTTCAAACTCCGTGAGAAGCTGTTAGAGGATAAATCATGATTTTCGCCTTGCACTTAGTGAAACCAATTTTATCTGAAATGGTGAACAATGTTATTAAAAAAGCCATCAAATAAATTCTGCCAATAACAGCTAGAATTAATATCGGCCTGAGCTAACACAATGTGCAGCTGCAACGTGGTGATATGGTTAATTCTGCATATTTTTGTTTGTGCTACATGACAAGTAGTCGTTGAACAAGAGTGCGATTCCAGTTATCGATAGATGCAAAAGGCGAGTTGTTAAATTGATGAGATGAATATTTCGCTATCTTTCAGCTAAGACCGGGAACTTCGCTAAATAAGATTCTATCTCTGATGGCGAGGGAATTATAGTTGCCGTTGTTATTTTTCGACCGATCGGTTTTTTTTTTTTTTTTTTTTAGTTTTTTCCAATTTACTTAAACGTAAAAGAATAGAGATGTTGTTTATTGACTGAAAGAAACAGAAAAGACTACGAAACATTTGCCGAGGTAAGTTAATTTCGAGTTCGTCTTTGGGAACCTTTTTCAAGGGGATGCATCAGTTTTAGGACCGATGCAGTTGTAAACTGTGAACGAAGATAGAATAGGAATGTAAATTTTTTTTTCGTCATGCATGTGTGTAGTGTTTTCAGATGCAGAAAAATGTCTCTCTTTTACGTTATTTGGAGACCAATGATTTTCACTGCTAATGGAAATATATGTTCGATCGAGTAAATCAATAATTACTTGAACTTTTCTTAGACACGGTATATTTGCCATTTGACAGTGCCACATGGGATATTGTGCTTTGCTCGATGTCTTTTTCCATGGTTTCGTAGTTTAGAAAATTTTTTCCTTTTTTGCGATTCAGGAACTTTCGTTTCGGGTGGGAACATAGGAACCGTAAAGGAATCTAAATTTATCACTTGAACTTTTCTTAGACACAGTACGAGTGTATTTGCCAATTGACACTACCACAGGGGCTATTGTACTTTGCTCAATGTCTTTCTCCCTGGTTTCGTGGTTTAGAATATATTTTCCTCTTTTTGCGATTCAGAAACTTTCGTTTCAGGTGGGAACATAGGAACCGTAAAGGAATCTAAATTTATCGAACAGGCTTAGAAAAATTGAGAAAAAAACGGAAAAAAATACGGAAAAGGTTATCATAAATTTTAATTAATTATTTATGATACACAGACCGCAGCTACTAAGGTACAGCTCTTAAAGAAGGACCAGGGGTCTTTACACAAAGAACCATTCCCTTGTTTTTTCAAGGCCCGATAAATAAAAAATAACCGCCTGAAAAAAAAATTGGCAACACATGTGATTCAGAAGCTTTAACGCATCAAAAGGGAGGTTGGGCTTACTAAATATTCTAATTCATAGACTAGAGACTTCAGTAAGATCGATTGAATCCTCTTCTTCGGAAAGGCTCTATGAGTAACATTATACAGCAACGCCGGAGAGAAAGTTCACGATATAAGCATTGTAATGTATATTCCGGTTAAGGTGGCCCAAGATAGGTAAAGGGGCTCAGATTTCTTTGTTCAAAATGACATTAGGGCATGCACACACGAGCTCGGTGGAAATCTAGTCTGATTATCATTTCAAGTAATTATCAAATGTTTCTAACACTGTTTGTTTATGCATACGCATTATGTTTGGATATCAACAAGCCAGATGAATGTTCGATATGAAATCATTCAAACATGGAGGGCTAATCAACCCCCACCGTATTTAATATGAAAAGGATTTGAAAAATCTTAATATACAACAATTTTTTTTTTTTAAGAATGCAACGAGGATAACATTCTGAATTTTAAAGAAACTGTTTCAAGAATCGATAAAATGAGACGAAACATACGGCAGCCTTAAAAACTCTCATTACTTACAAAGTGAGCAATAATCTTTATATATCATAATGAAATGTTTTTTAAATTGTTTGATCCCCAAAAAGAGATATATAGTATTGTAGTTTAACGACTTCCAAAATTGATTTCAGTTTTGTTATTAGAACTGGTTATCTTTTAATTATTTTTAGCTCTGAATTTGGCTATGATAATACAATCGATAAACTTAATATTTTTTTGTCTAACCAAACCAGGATTACGACCTATAACAGATCGTGCGGACCGAAATCAAATTAAATCGGACCGTGAACAAAGTAGCAGTGTAACAAATCTGTGGGAAAAAATTAATACAAAGCGTATAGCAAAGTCTGCTGTTTTGCCATGTCATAGCTCGTTACTTTGTTTGTTTTTTTCTTTGAACGGAATGACTTCGTAAACTGCTGCGAGTCTCACCAATTTTTTAACCATTTCTTGGCTAATATTTTTTCCGTTTTGTAGAGCGATCGGCGAATGGCGGTGACACTTTTTAACCAGACCTGTTGGAATTGTTCAAACATTCTTCCCTATTTGAAAACAACTGCAACGACAAAAGGTTACACTAACATCAGTGAATTCTTAACGAGAGATTCAGCGGTCATTCTCTCGATAATCAGCTCTTTGGCGTGTATGATAGGATGCCTTGGAAACTCTTTGGTCATGCTCGTCGTACAACGAAATAAAACTTTTCGCACGATACCCGACCTTTTCATCACAAGCTTGGCTGTCTCCGACTTCTTCGTGTGCGCACTTTATTTACCGTTGCGTATTTACTACTTCTTTCATACCATCAGCGAAAGTGAGGGCAAATCCAAAGCTTTCGACTACGCCATGAGTTTCCTTGGGCATACTTCCATGGTAGCTTCCGCTTCAAACATGTTTGCGGTCACAATTGATCGCATCATTGCAATCAGATTCCCATTCAAGTACGTTTTCATGACAGCCAAACATGCTGTAGTTCAAATACTGCTTGTGTGGATAGTCTCTCTTGCATTCGGTGTCTTGTACGCTCCTCTCTTGGTGTCCAATATGTACATCGCCCTTTATTGTTCAGTTCTTCTGATAACAACAATGCTCATGTACATCTACATTTTCATCATTGCAAAACGAGCAGAAAACAGGATACAGAACGCTCAGTCAACATTGGAAAGGACTGTGTCTGAGAAAAAAGTAGCCAAAACCGTTTTCACAGTCGTGGGGGCCTATAATTTGTGTTGGCTGCCTATGCTTCTTCTCCCAGCAATTGCCAACCCTTCAACGAACCCAGTTCAGTTTGGTAAAGGATTTTTTTGGGCTCAAACCCTTCTGGTCTGCAATTCAGCAATTAATCCTTACATTTACTGTATGAGAAGCAAGAAATATCGTGCGGCATTTGGTAAAATACTGCACATTCAGCTTTGCATTGGTCATGAATAATGGATGTAATAACAAAACGTACAAAATTAATCATAACTTTAAGTCAACTACTTCACCATCTATCTGCCATCAGAGATGAGTGGATATTTCTTGCTTGAACAAAATGATGAAAAATAGATCTTAAAAAATAGCCTACGCCACATGTACAGGCAAAGCGTAAGAGCTTTTCAGCAAAGCGAATAAGAGTATTTTCTTCATTAATAGGAGGGTCTCAATGGGGTTAGCCGTAAAACAGCCAAAACGTGTAGTCTTTAGGCGTAAAACTTGATAAACTTAGTCGTAAAAAAGTTAACCGTTAAAAATTTTCATGCCTTCAATGCAATTTTGGGTGAATTGTTAGCTGTAAAAATGGCCACAATTTTGAACCGTTAGCGGCTGGCTCTTCCTGTAAACAAGATCATGTCACAGCTGATAAATTAATTGTAAACCAAGCGGAATTATAATTTTGAAACAGCAGTGCAATTAACTGGTTGAAATTTATTCAGCAACAAGGTCATATGATTAAAAAGCGTGAAGTTGGGAAAAATCTAAGGGAGATCTTCCGAGACCGCCCCCGAGAGCTGTTTAACGAGATTCCCCATAACACAAATATAATTCTAGCGATTCAGCCATGCCAATCCCATATTTTAAATCGCACTCGTTTGTTCAATACGCTTGAGAGAATCTTTCGACGGCAAAAGGGAATGTTTGGTTTTTGAGAGCTTTGATTATAGCCGGTCAGAGTTGGTAATTGAAACGAGGTCTAATTTAGGTCACGGTTTTTGACGATTAATGGACTTCTTAAGTTCCTCATAAGTGAGGTTTTTGAAGTAATAGGATATTTCTTTCAGCGCTAATTGAAATAGAAGCCCTTTTAAAAATTTCGCATAAACTTAACGTTTAGGTTATATTTTCCGCTTCATCTAAGATTGTTTAGAGCACGGTTTGGGTGAATATGGGAAAAAAAATTTTTAATAACCGGCCTTTAGGGTTTAGGAAAAATATATCCAACCACCATAAAAAAAAAGTTCAAAAACTGTGAAAATTCCATGTTTAAGATGCATTTGTATCAAAATGTAAATGTAGAACACTTAAAGTAGTTAAGTGAGGTAAAACAGAGATTAATGATTCTGAAAGAGATCAAAAGCCCAAATGTAATTATAGAAAGCCGAACTGTTTAAAGTTCGGCGTCATCCTCTCAATATAAACTAAAAACAAATGGTCCACATCTTTTTCTTGAATCCTCTCACTGGGAGGTACTTGTTACCATATTTCAGACCGAAAGAAAAGATGAAGAAACAGATTATTATCCTACGCTAGCAATAAATGTAAAATTTTATAACCTTACCAGAATACCGTGGCAATTTCAAAACTTTACAGCTTTCGTAAAATATAAAAACTCAATTATAAAATATCTCGCAGTGTCCAAGTTCAGCTTCCCTTTTGAAAGAGGTACCCGCCCAGTAAAGTTTTAGTTTTACAATAAATATGGAAGATAATTACTGGACTCATGTAAATACTGATAACACATTGTGGAAAAATAAAATGTCGACAATATTGAGTTTTAAGTGAAGAAGGCTGTTATTAGAAGCTTCCTGAGGCAGTCAAAAGTTCTTTGTCGTCTTGAAGAATCCAGTTAATAAATTTTGGTGAAGACATGTCGATGATTCTTATAAGTTTATATCAATCATCATCCAATAAGCGCATTTACTTCTCCGTTGGCCTTAAAATGATGGGGTTTTACTCGGTAAATAGAAATCTTGGCGGTCTATTAACATTTGGTACCTTCTTTGCCTGGATTTCGAATAATCGATTAGCCGATTCTTCTATGAAACCGCAACAGGGTTAGCGAATGATTACTACAATTGTCAGTTCAACAATTGCGATAATTTCCGGTAATTTTCATCTCTGGTAGTTTCAGAGTTCTGAGAAGGGATAAGAGAAGAGTAAAAACAAAATTCTACTCTTCTGAAGGTTTATGAATCTTAAATGAATTACCTGCAATTTAAAAGTAAATAAACAGCAACACCCTTTTAATAATCTACTCGAACCTTAGCTTTTTTCGTTTCGTGTTTGTGGTCTATTAGTGTCTCTAAGAGAACTGTTTTCCTATCTTACTGAAGTGATTTTTTTAAAGTCCGTGAAGTCGAAGTTAGTTTTCACAGCTTGGAAATGACTCCTGAGGTACTGACAAGAAGAATTTGTTTACCAATCAAGAGCTTCTGTGGTTGGTGATCATTTCCGTTATTCTCGTGACCCTAATTTGTGATTCAGGGGCGATGAGAGAAGGAGAAAATAGATGCAAGTCACTGTTAAGGGTCAAATTGATTAAGAGTGCAAACGGCTGAAAGGAAGACAGCAAGAGTATTAACATTTTGCGTCTTCCGTGTTCCGTTGACGTAATAATTTTGAAACTACCCTAATATTAAAAAAAAAGGCCGAATAGTTAATTGAAATCATGGTATCAAGCAATATTCACGTAGTCCAAAATGATTGACTAATAGTTCCATTATAAGCTTAAGAGCTTTACCTAGGGCCTCAGTTTGATTAATCATTGGAAGAAAAACGACATTAAAATTTAGCCGTTAGGCGTAAAAATTGACGAGTTTTAACAGATAGTCTTAAAAAAAAGTTGACCGTAACAATCTTCATTTGAAAAACAATGGAAAGAAATGGACAGTTAGCCGTAAAATGGCCAAAATTTTAGGGTAGTCGTAAAAGCCATTATTCCATTAAGACCCTCTTTACTTAATGCAGAAGGAGGCGAGAAAGCACTATTGATGATTTCAAAAATTATATTTTAAAATTTTAAAGTTAAAATTTGCGAATTGTTTTGTAAATAAATATAAATCTACCTTGATTGCCCAAGCTTAAGAGCTATTATTGATCAAACGTTTGCGAACTTTGCTCTGAGATCGATATCATGTTGTATATTGAACCTTCCGCCATCATCGTGGTAACTTTAAGTGGCGAGGAGTGCAAATAGATACTCATAAATCGCTTAACACCTTAAGAAGGAGCACAGACAAAACCAGAAATATCGTGAGACGTTTGCGTACAACATAGAAGCTTAAAAAGAGGTAACATGCTGTCTTACAACTGACCCCTAAACGGCCTTTGTGTCTGTTGATCTGTTTGACATCCTTGTAGTTTTGGTGGTGACGGCCGCCTATAAAGAGATCGATTTTCAGCACTCAGAGAGATTGAGCCTATTTCGGCGTAAACAATTATCGGTACTTTCTTTTATTTCGTTTTCACTCTTGCTTTTATTTTATCTAAAGCAATTTATTAGTTTATTTCCACATATATAGTTACAAATCGTTCAAAAAAATTGCACTCAAAAACTGCAATATGACGACGCCAATTTCACCTGCTCTTTCATTTATTGGACCTCAAACACCAAAAAAGACCATTGGCTCGAGATTTCTATCTCGAAACTTGACATAAACTCTTATTAATGCTTCTGGAACAAGTTGCCGAGCTTTGTGTGCTAAAAAAAAGGACTCAAATAGATTGTATCCCTCTTTCCCCCTTTTGCCGCAAATCTAAAATTTTATTTAGGATGCTTTTAACAATTTAAAGGTAATTCAATCCTGTAATGAAGGTTTTCTTTAGTTACTTTCCGACAAAGCGACCGCTAGGAAATAAAACGGCTGTGACCGCTGTATTTGCGCTCCAGTTTGCAGGTTGAAGACATTTGAGGTCATCTGAGTAGTATGACTGCAAGTTCATTTGACTGTTTTAACCAAACAAGCTGCAACCATTCCACAGCTACTTCTCCATCACAAGAAACACTTGAGTATCTCCGTATCAGTGAAATATTAAGTAAAGAGGTAGCGGTCGTCCTCTCTCTCATTTGCGCCTTGATAAGTGTGCTTGGAGCTTTGGGGAACTCTTTGATACTCCTTGCTGTTGGCGCAAACACAAATCTTCGCAGGGTTCCTGATCTTTTCATCACAAGTTTGGCGATCTCAGACTTGTCTGTGTGCTTGGTGTATCTACCCATGGTGATTCATGACCTCAATTACAAGTTTCAAAATGATAAAGAATTCAGGATCTTTGACATCACCAAAAGCTTCTTCGGCCATATTTCCACGGTTGCATCGGCAACTAACATATTTGCAATGACAATAGATCGCGTTTGTGCGATTAGATTCCCTTTCCAATACATAGCCGTTCTGACAACAGAAAAAGCACTTTTAGGAATATCATTTGTCTGGCTTGTTTCTCTTCTATTTGCTGTCTTGTACGCTTCTCCTGTTTTGATTCCCAGGTTCTATGTCTCAATCTACATCTCCTCTCTACTTATCACAACTACAATCGTGTATATCTATATTTTCATCACGGCCAAACGTCAAGAAAACAGAATTCATAACGTACATTCGCGGTCTTGTAATACCATGAGAGAGAGAAAGGTGACTAAAACCATCTTAACAGTGGTAGGAGTTTATGCTTTATGTTGGATGCCTTTGCTTCTGCTTCCGCTCATTTTACACCCTTCTGAGAACTTTGTTCTATTCAAGAAAGCTTTTAGCTGTGTGCAGACGTTAGTAGCTTGTAATTCAGCAGTCAATCCACTTATTTATTGTATGCGTAGCAGTAAATACCGTAGAGAATTCGCTAAAGTACTGCGTATAGTTTATTGTGGTGAAAGAATTCATTCTGTGTCATAACGTCTGGGGAGGATCAAACGAGAGGAAGGTGTTTCGCCGTAAGGCCTTTTTTCCCCGGAAGATCTCTCAAAATATATTTTAAAGATATCGTTGTCTTATAAAATTTTAGTAAGATTCAAAATAAACAAGAACTGCGTCAGAAATTTTACTTCATTTGATCGGCCAAGCGTTGTCTATACGCTCTCTAACGATGCATTAAATAACCAGAGAAGACTTGAAACATAACTTTTCAGGAGAACAGCTGGGAACCTTTGAAAGAAAGTGTATTCTATGGCCAGTCTGGTGTCAGTCTTTTCCAAGCTTTTTTCAAATGGTTATGCTTATAGTGCAGGCATAGTTCTCATTTGGATGTAAAGCTTTCTTATCCTTTCGAATCAGAATAAAACCTACCTTTTACATTGTATTTTACCCTGTCATTATTTGAATTACTTGAGTTCAATACTTTTGAAAGGGGAGGTTCAGAAGGGGCTTTTTAAAAAAACTTTTTACTTCAGATTGAGGGGACGTTTTGAAGGGGGTCCTCATTGAAGAGGGGAACTTATTGAAGTCGGGGGGGGGGCTTTTTGGGGAGGGAACACGTTAAAAACAGGGGCTTATTAGAGAGTAGGAATTAATGAAGAGGAGAACTTATTAAATAGAAGGGCTTATTGAAGAGGTGGAGTTATTGAGGAGGGGGACTTACTGAAATCGGGGGAAGGGGTTTTGGGGAGGGGAATCATTAAAAAGGGGGCTTATTACAGAGAGGGGAACTTATTGAAGAGGGGGACATATCTAAGTCGGGGGCTTCTTTGGAGAGGGGACGCATTAAGAGGAGAAAGAGGAGAATTAGAAGGGAGGACGAACTTATGAAAGAGGAGGGGTATTGAAGATGAGGGCCATTGAAAAGGAGGCCTATCAGAGGGGGGTGGTAATATTGTCATTCGTTCGTTTCAAAAGCTTATTGTAGGTTTCAATAAGATTAGTACAGCTTGATTGGTTAATACAATCGGTTGGTTTTGTTCACAAACTTTGGTGAACTGAATCTCAAATGCGACGATACTAGAATTCAAAGTGTATAGAACTCAGTACTGAGATAGAACAGACATGTTTTAAGATGAACGAGTATGGTGAAAATTTTTGTTCGTCTTATAAAGAAAGGCGTCACCCAATTTTGGCGGGAGCAACAGGAGAAAAGAAATTTTTTTCTTTCAATTAGTTTGTTATTGTTATTCGTTTCAAAAGCTTACTATGGATGTTATTAAGATTAAACAAATTGTGGTAGGTTTTATCACAGATACAAAGATGTTATGAATCGAAGTTTTTGAACACAGCACTACAAGGCAGGTGAACGAAAAAGGTGAAATGTTTCTCTCTGTAGCCTGATAAAAAAATATCTGGATGTCACACATGTGGCGCGAGAACTCGGGAAGAAAAGGAAAATTTTGCTTACAATTAGTTTATTGTTATTTGGTTTTTTCAAAAGCTTAATGTGGATGTCAATAGGATCCCAAAAATTTGTAGCTTCACAAATTGTGGCAAGCTAACACTCAGATACGAAGATGATGTAAATCAAAGTATTTAGAACACATTACTAGGACAAAAGAAACATGCATTAAGAGGAAAAAGGAGCACTCTGACAGTACTTTTCTCTTCTGTCGTCTAATAGAGAAAGATGTTACTCGTTTGGCGGGAGCGTAAGGGCCTGTTTACACGGTACGACTTTGTCGCATGCGACAAAGTCATACCGTGTAAATAGGCCTTAAGAAGAAAAGAAACATTTTTCTTTAAAAAAGTAAGAGGTATACAAACCGCCGTAAAGTGATCTATGAACAATTACTTCATGATTACATTATTTTGCAAGCGTAGGAGGAAGACAAATTTTGCTTTCAATGAATAAGAGGTATACAAATCGCTTGTGACTGATCTTTGAATAATTGTTTGGTGAATTGGTTCTTTCTGAATATCTTGTTAGTTTTGTTCCCGAACTCAGACCGCAAGTCCCCTGAGTGCCCTATGCATCTAATTTAATACTTTGCAGCCCTAAGTGACACTTCGAAATTGCGACAATCTAACAGGAGTCTTCAGAGAACTTTAAGTGACATGTATATAAGCTTCTATGATAACATAACAACTGCCTACTGTAAAACTACAGGGGAACATACACAACAGAATAGGTTACTTTTAGAGTCTTCCTTTCAAAAAGGTCATTGAAGCGTGGTGCTAACTTCAATGCCTCATTTCACATTGAGTGTCCCCAAGGTCGTTATTAAGAGCAATTTTTCGGTCCTTGGCGGTTCAAATGAACCGCATTCAATAGTTTATGTCAAATACCTGCACTTTTCTGAATAGTTTTTTTTAAAGTTAGCAGCGGTCACTGACTTATAACCTGGCAAGTTCCTTTATTATATATGTTTTTTTTAAGACTTTTTTGACCTAACATATAACAAAACCACAATAGTATTCCAATCATTTTCAACTTATTACTGATCAATTCTTTCATTTGATTTACTCAGTCACCCTCTATGAACACAAAACAAAAGATTTTCTCAATTTAAACATATGCATAGTTATTTTATCTTTCATCACTGCTGGTTATCCAAACAAGTCACCCCCGTTTAATGTGTGTAGATATTAATGAACAGCTCCCCACAAGAGATCATCATGGCTCAGCTAAAGTCATCAACACAGGTGGCCAATTCCAGTGCTCAGAGCTTTTCGCCCTTGTCTTCCCCACAGTTGGGAATGCGCCTTACAGCAGAGTTCAATCCCGGAGAAAATGACAGCGTTTTTGAAAAATCACCATGTATTTCCTTTGACGACGAACACAGGGAAGAATCTAAGCCACAAACAATATTACAGGTTCGTGAAAGACAGAAATGGAGAAAAATGGCGCTAGCAGTGACTATGACGAGATTATTGGTGTCTGTGATTTTTGCGGGGGCATCTTTCTTCCTCTCAGCCACTATGAACAGTTCATCTGTCCTCGCCACAGCTCTAGACACAACGCTCACCGTACTCACATGTTTTGTTTTAGCGTGGAGATTTCATGAAGAAACGAACGCCAAAATCGCTCCTAAGAAAGAAAAGCATGGATCCATTGCCTTTGGAATAGCATTCATCGTAGACGCGCTGATAGTAATAGCAGTTTCAGTGAAGCACCTGACTGATAAAACCAAACCAGATGGAGCCAGCATAATGTGGCCATGTCTACTGGCGTTTTGTTTTGTCTATTGCTTACTGGCCGGGGCGGAATTCTGGATATCTTCGAAGCTTAAGAGCTCTATCCTTATAGCCCTGAGTATAGATGATGGGCTTACAGGAGGGTTTATGTTCGCTCTTTCTGTGAATGAATTCATTGAATGTAAACTTCCAAACTTGTGGTATTTGGATCATTCCGCGGCGATTGCTGTTTCACTCATGCTGTTATATTGCGGTATCAAAATTCTTGTGGAGATATTTGTCTACAAGAAACTTCCTTTCCAAATTTTCAATTCATGATTTCAAGAGGACACCCACGACCAGTTTGTACACGGTCAGGCGAATCGCTCGCAAGTGCAGCTCATTATCACAAGATGACTTGGAATTGACCCTGTCTTTCACGTTCTATGAATCGAGTCTTAATTAAAAGAAGTCGATTGTAATCACATTGGCCTTTGAGTCAAAGGACTCTCAACCCTGAGATATCATTAAATGAAACAGACTGTCCCCTCATAATCGAGCCTCGGAACTTGGGGAGATTAATCAAGCTGTTCTATGCTTCGCTAGTTATAGCTCATTGAACCTAGATTACTAAGAAATATTCCCTTTAAATACCGGGACTTTTAGGGTGAATCTCACTTCGCCAGCAGTCTCGTGGGTTTTCGTTCCATCGACGCACTTCTTAAGTGTGCTGTTTGAGCTCATTGCCTTTCGAAATTTCTCAGTATTTACAGCGACATGAAGATGACAAATGCAACCTCGTTTTAAAATCATGGCACGGGCCTTGATCTTCACTGAGAGCTACACACTGAAACAGCTAAGAAAGAGTGAGGCAAAATCACTTCAGTAACTTAAGCCTAAAGGCGCGCATCATAAAATAACTGTGACGAAACAAAAAAACATAACTAAGAGCGCATTGCGACTCAGATTAACTTAGGCTGGTGTTTTAAGATGTTTTAAATTAGTTAGGACTGGAAAACTTCATTCGAATTATCCAGGAATCCGTTAGATTTGAAATCGCTCGATATTAGAATTCAATAATATTTCAAATTCAAAATCTTGGCGCGAAACGTCGTGAAATAAATCATAGAATTAATTAATTATTGTTCTACGGAGTCGCATCGATCGAAGATGAGATGGTATGCAACTAGCAAGGTGCATGGCGTCGAGTGTATTCTCATAGTCGGCAAGGATAAAGAGAATAACATATTTTAATAAGATTGCACACAAAAGATAACTCTACTAACAAGCTTTTATTTGGTTTTGTCAACCACCGGAAAACAAGAGCAAGGCTCGCTCACAGAAATTTTTTCTCATTTCGCTGACGAATTCATTGACCATATATGTCGGAGCTAGGTTATGAACTCGGAGCAAGGTTATTAGCTGACACCACAGCTCCCCTCAGCCAGTCAGAGGGCCAGAAATTCAATTACTGTGCTCCAATTTATACCCAAAGGGTTTACTCCCTTATTCGCTCTGACGAAAGGCTAACGCTTGAAACGTCAGCTTAGAAACTCGCTTTATGGTGCCTACTTTACATTGTCAACCTAGTTGATAGGACCAAATTTTCTTGTTTATTTACCTCGGACCTTTTGCAATGTCGATTGTTTTACGTTCCACTTGGAAAATATATGGGCACCAGGCTAAGCTATGTTTTGAGCGATACGGTCCGCTGGAGAATTCAAGCAAATGCAAATGTAAAATCAGCGGCAGCATTTTTGCGATTTTGTCTTGCTATGGGTATTAAGGACTCTGTTTTCTTCTTCTGTAGCCGAAGAACATTGTATGGTACCAGGAGTCCATTACTCATTAAGTAATGGGCTCCTGATGGTACTGAGTAATCAGTTAAAGTGCCCATGACACGAATTTTTTTTCGCAGTTTCTGGTTGACAGCTGTATTAAAAATTAGAAATAATCGACTTTAGCGCCTAGCGAGTTCTCCTGGACCACTTTTTTGTGCATTGAAAGTACGATTTGTCGGCCAAAAAGTGTCCCCATTAAGCGCGTGGCCAAAACTATATCATGTTACATAGCTGTGACGTAGAAAACTGTGAAGACACGTCTGCAACTATGGTGGAGAAGGCGGAGAAATCTAAAAGAAAGGACGAACGTATTGCATGGCCAGAGCGCCAAATGATGTTAGCTACAAGAATAATACACATATACCGGCTATTTCTATACACTACTTTCTAAAGGATGTAGCTGTATGACCAAAATGGACGCATCTCGATCGTCGACATCGAGGAGATTTTACTCTTCATTGTTGTCGGCCTCATGCTCCGTACCAGCTTCGAAGACGCCTGTCATGAACACATACGACTAGCCAAATCAGGGGACTGATTAAGGGGCCTTCAGTCCCACACCGCACACGATTGTTTAACATTCTTTTCCGCTGACATTTCGCAGGCGAAGAATGGTGAGCTTCTTAACTTATTGTTGTTAATTTCACGCGCTTGAGATGTACCCATACTCTTTGTCTTTTTACATGGCTACATTTGCGCTTTCCTTATTGAATGAAAATCCTACCAATTGTAGTTTCCATCGTATTTTAATAACAGAAATGCATCATTTGTAATGCAGTTCAAGCCCCTTCCTGAGATTTCCTAACCGATATCCTGTTGCGTGAACAGTGCGAAACCTCTGGCGGATACTGGCTTAAAGACAAGCTCGAAGGGGCCGTGAATTCTCCCAACCTATGTTTCCCAAAATCCACCCCACGAGCCATCATTTCCTCCCTGTCCTCGAGAAACTAAAAGAAGCAAAAGTAGTAATATCATTGTGATAACAGCACTGCATCGAGATAAATAAAGAGACAAATTTTATTGAATTAATTAGATGATAGCGAATCCCACTGCCGTGTGAAAATCGATGCATACCAAATAATTACTTACAATACTGATGTGAGTTATTTCCTTTGAGCGGAATGGGTCTTATGGCAATACTGCAGTTCCACTATAGACGTTTTTCTCTATTAAAAACCCTATTTGAGATTAGCTTGAATCAGATGACTATAAACTCAATCGTTTCCCGTTCGGTTTGGCCGGCTCGACGATCGCGCCCATAGCCTCTGTCTTTGCAATCTCTAGCGAAAGGAGCAACTTGCAGTGAAACTGCCCGATAACTTCTCGGTGAAAAACCATCGTGCCTCCTGATACAGCTAATTCTTTCGTAAAAAGTTAGCTCTTGGTTTACTAAGGGAATTTCTCTACAGCAACGAAACTCTAGAGCACTGACCGAGGAGAATCTTCGCCGCACATAATGCGAAGGAATAAAATGCCATCAGATGCTACTTATTCTTAACATAAATTTCGCCATGGAAAACAAAACACAAACGCAACAAAGTAAATATTCAGTGACGGGAAATTTTTGCTCTAATCTTGACCTGAACACTGCAGGCGAGAACTGAATCGTCTTTATCAGTCTTCGTCGAAATTTTCGTTTGATGCACGCGGTTCTCCTTCGTAGGGCTGAACTGTTACTTGAGTACAATGTATCACAACTCTCGGTAGAGCTTGCTGAAGGTAGGTGTACATCGCTATCGGACATCATTTCAAGAGTATTTCAACGCTGACTGATACAAAATTACAAGAGATGTGAGAGATTTGCAAGTGTCAGCTAAGAATTTCACAGTTTTCTACGTCATCACCCGCTAATTCGTTACCAGTCCACGGGACACTTTTAACCCTTTGACTCACAGATCAAATTTGTAATTCTCTTTATTGTCAAGTGTACAATTTTTATAATGTTAGTTCATAGAATTTAGTATTGTATCAACTAATTATCCCCAAATTGATATTTTTCTTTATTCTCATCATTTATCTGGTTGATATTGTATTGATATTGTAAGGAGAAATTCTCTCTTGGTCACTCATAGGAGTTAAAGGGTGAAGACTAACTAAGAGCACTTTGGGGCCCAAAAAGACCGAGTTTTAAGTTTTTTATATATTTCTTCTATCGGAATTGGTTTGTACATATGATAAGCTAAATATTTACGCAAAAAAATTTCACCTCATAGGCACTTAAAAAACCCTTAAATAATGAGATTACTTTTGCCTGCGCTCGATTGTTTTAACAACGATGCATACACAACGGTGTTCTTTGTATTCACATATCTAATTCACCTTTTGACTCCCACAAGTGATTAACTTGAAATTTCTCTCAACCAACAGGGAAGAAGAACGCTCATACTCATCAGAGAGAAGTTGTTACCTTGATCTAACAAAAAATTCTCACAATTAATTTATGAGGAAATGCATAGCAGCTCCAGGAGAGAATTTACGATCAGATCTTGGGATTTAGAAGGGTTAAGAAAACCCAGAATAATCCACAAGTAAGTCTTAAACACATGGTATATTTCCTCACGTAGAACTTGCATCGGCTGGTATATCGTGGAATCGGCAAGGAGCGAACCAGACACAGGGAAACGACAAAATTTTCCGCTTTCCTCACAGAATACTGTCCGAGGTTGGCAGTCACCAACACATTCACCAAAATTGGCAGCATCTTCAGGAACGAATTCAATCCCTCGGGAAGCGAAGGAGTTTTAGATCATTCACCTTGCGTTTCTCCTGAAGACGTGGACACTAATAGACAGGAAAGAGTTTCCAAAAGCGAAAAGAAAAAAATAGCCAATAGAATATGGCAAATGGAATATTGGCGATTAGAACTTTAATCAATATTAGCTCATTGGTTGATCAAAAAGATAAAATAAATTTATTCTGTAGAGCGAGTCAATGATTTTCCTAGCCCGCTGTTATTTCTACTGGAGTTATTTTTCAATAGTCCGTCCCGTACGATGTACCGGGCGCTATTCCTCAATTAAGCAAATAGCCTCTTATCTAACTGAACTTAATTAGGAAGCCCCTCTCTCTAAAAATGGATTAAGGTAACGCCTTTCTCTTTACGGCCTTAAGGGATTCCTTTAATTTGTCGGAGAGATTTGCACGGAATGAAAATGACGACACTGAGTGCTGTTAGCATTTTAAAACTACGTTTTCGTTTACTACAAAGAAAGAACATTATTTCGACTCTGTAAAAGTCAACAGTCATTTCAAGATACGGAGCGTTTTTTAAAACGAAAATTCGGACAAGTAGCAAGCCTTCACAATAAGACATTAACTGCCCTCTTCTATTGATTACAACTCCATCACCATGGCAATAAAGTCCCAGTTTCACAAAAGAAGAGCAAGTTCTGCATTGTAAAGGTTTCGTGACTTACAGTACGCACCATCAAAACGAGTTTCAAAAGGTATTAATCATATCTCTGGGTTCAAAGAAAGAAGATTTCATTTCAAACAAATTTTTGAGTTAAGCAACCTGTTCAGCGAAATACGGTCCGCATAACTGACCAACTATGGTACACGCACTGTCTGACAGTCATAATAAAATGCCACACATGTCTTTGACATGTTCTTGTATTTCTTCTCAAGTAAAAGTTGTCAGACGGCTCTGGATTTTGCAGGTGGGCAAAAAATTGTTATATGGTAGCCTAGGCAAGCTGTAAACAAAAGTAAGGCCAAACGTTTCTCTAGCTCCAAAAATGATTCAACCACTAAGACAAGTATAATGGTATGATATCTTTTTTATTCATTTAATAGGACGAACGACAAGCATCACTTCTAGTTACTTCTTATTGCTGATTAGTTGATGGTCTGTGGAGAGAAACATGTACAAATTTCAGCTTTAGTAAAGACTGAACACGAAAATATCCGATCACATCATGAACCCGTATCAGCTGAGGTAAATTTGGGTAATTCAGCTGCCTCGCAAAGAACACTCAGCAATGATGCACTAATTCAAGCCTAAAATTAATTTCAAAAGTTTTCATTTTTCCAGAAATCAAGACTCTTACGAACCCTGAAACATGTATATGTACGTAGTAGAGTTGTAACGTTAAGTTTATGGATCTTAAAAACATATTTTTTAAGATACATGCCCATAAAAAGGACTTTCAAAACATCAACTTACTTGGCCCATTCCTCGCTCAAGATAAGATGATAATAACCAAATTCTTGAACACTTTGAATAGTTCGGGCGGCATCCTCACGATAGACAGAGTTGATGAATGCAAAACCCTGCAAACAGAACAGAAGGCGAACAATGGATAAATGCACTTTTTTTGAAAGCTTCCGCCCCAAATCCTTTTACCCCTAAGAGTGATTAGCATCTAATTTCTCCTTAAAATATCACCCCTGAATCAAAATTATGGGCATGCGAATAAAGGAAATGATCACCAACTAAAGAAGCTCTTGATTTTTAAACAAATTCTCCTTGTCAGCACCTTAGGAAATGTAAAAAGAACAGTATGGAGAATATGCATACTGATGTTAGGATGTAAAAGGTTAAAAGCCTCTAGTTGGGACAAACAAGCAAAAAATCATTTCAACAGAGTTCCGTTACAATTCATCTGTACCTGTATTTACTCCTGAGTGGAGAGAGGCACGTGGAATTAAAATATCTTGTTCATAACCACAACTCAATGTGTTCAGTACTGTGAAGATCGCTTTCATATTCACCTCTATACCTGTGGTTCACATATATGATTTTGATATATTCACAGTCATTTATACAACACAATGACTTGCCCAAGGTTTGAACCAGAAACCTATTGACGCAGTGTTAAGTGCCCTAACCGTGAGGCAACTCTTCCTAACCCCAGCAACTACTCAACTTGTGAATAAAAATCGTACGCGCTCACCAACCGTAAAATAACCTATAAATATATAACATTATCTCTTATTTTTCGCACTGGAAAATCAGGTCAAATCAACATTCACCCAAAAGACTTGCAGAAACACTCTTCTAATTCAAGACGCACTCTTCTATCACTGTATCACAGTATACATTCTGCCACTGTAACACAGTCAATAAGATCCCAAAAATTCTCTAGCTTCACAAATTGTGGCGAGCTAACTCAGTCACTCAGAGCCTAAGTGACGCTTCAAGATTGCGGCAATCTAACAGGAGTCTTCAGAGAACTTTAGATGATATGTAAATAAGCTTCTATGATAACATAACAACTACTTACTTTAGCTCCACAGGGGAACATACACAACAGAATAGTTTACTTCTAGATTCGTCCTTTTAAAAGGGTCATTGAAGCGTGGTTCTAACTCCAATGCCTCATTTCACATTGAGCGTCCTCAAGGTTGTTACTGACAGCAATTTTGCAGTCCTCGGCGGTTTAAATGAACCGCATTCAATAGTTTATGTCAAATACCTGCACTTTTCTGAATAATTTTTTTTTTATAGTTAGCAGCGGTCACTGACTTATAACCTGGCAAGTTCCTTTGTTATATGTTTTTTCTAGACTCTTTTTTGACCTAACATGTAACAAAACCACAATAGCATTCCAATCATTATGAACTTACTGATCAATTCTTCTATCTGATTTATTCAGTCACCCTATATGAACACAAAAACAAAAGATTGTCTCAAATTTAACAAATGCGTCGTTGATGTTATCTTTCATTACTGCTGGTTATCCAAACAAGTCACCCCTGCTTAGGGTGTGTAGATATTAATGAACAGCTCTTCTCAAGAGATCATCACAAGATCATGGCTCAGCTAAAGTCATCAACACAAGTGGCCAATTCCAGTCCTCAGAGTCTTTCGCCCTTATCTTCCCCACAGTTGGGAATGCGCCTTAAAGCAGAGTTCAATCCCGGACAAAATGACAGCGTTTCTGAAAAATCACCATGCGTTTCCTTTGTCGACGAACACAGGGAAAATACTAAGCCACAAACAATATTACAGATTCGTGAAAGACAGAAATGGAGAAAAATGGCGCTAGCAGTGACTATGACGAGAATATTGGTGTCTGTGATTTTTGCGGGGGCATCTTTCTTCCTCTCAGCCACTTTGAACAGTTCATCTGTCCTCGCCACTGCTCTAGACACAACGCTCACCGTACTCACATGTTTCGTCTTAGTCTGGAGATTTCATGAAGAAACGAACGCGGAAATCGCTCCTCAGAAAGAAAAGCATGGATCCATTGTCTTTGGAATAGCATTCATCGTGGACGCACTGATAGTTATAGCAGTTTCAGTGAAGCACCTGACTGATAAAACCAAACCAGAAGGAGCCAGCATAATGTGGCCATGTCTACTGGCGTTTTGTTTTGTTTATTGCTTACTGGCCTGGACGGAATTCTGGATATCTTCGAAGCTTAAGAGCGCTATTCTTATAGCCCTGAGTATAGATGATGGACTTACAGGGGGGTTGATGTTTGCCCTTTCTGTGAATGAATTAATGGAATGTAAACTTCCAAACTTGTGGTATTTAGATCATTCCGCGGCGATTGCTGTTTCACTCATGCTGTTATATTGCGGCATCAAAATTCTGGTGGAGATATTTGTTCACAAGAAACTTCCTTTCCAAATTTTCAAATCATGATTTCAGGACGAATTTTCTAAAGAGGACACGCACGACCAGTTTGTACACGGTCAGGCGAATCGCACGCAAGTGTAGCTCACAAAATGACTTGGAATTAACCCTGTCTTTCACGTTCTTTGAACCGAGTCTTCATTAAGAGAAGGACAGTTGTAACCATATTGGCCTTTGAGTCAAATGACTCAGCCCTGAGATACCATTAAATGAAACAGACTGAAACGTTGATAATCGAGCATCGGAACTTGGGGGGATTAATTTAGCTGTTCCATGTTTCGCCAGTTATGGCTCATTGAACTAAGATTACTAATTCCCTTTAATACCGAGACTTTTATAGGGTGAATTTCACTTTGCTAGCAGTCTCGTGGATTTTTGTTCCATCGGCGCAGTTCTCAAGCGTACTGTTTGAGCTCATTGCCTTTCGAAAACTTCTCGGTATTTACAGCGACATGAAGATGACGAATACGACCTCATTTTAAAATCATGGCACGATCACTGATTTAAGCTTACCTAACATTACTGAGAGCTGCATATTGAAACACAAAGGAAGAATGAGACTTAAACACTCCAATAACTTAAGCCTACAGGTGCGTATCATAAAATAACTGATTGAAGAAACATCATGGCACGGTCCTTGATTTTCGCTTACCTTACATTACTGAGAGCTGCACACTGAAACAGCGAAGAAAGAATGAGGCAAAATCACTCCAATTACTTAAGCCTCTCGGCGCACATCATGATATAACTGAGTGACGAAACAAAAAAACATAACTAAGAGCGCTTTACGATTCAGATTAACCTCGGCTGGTGTTTTAAGATGCTTTAAATTATTCATACCTGGAAAACTTCATTCGAATTATTCAGGAATCTGTTAGATTTAGAGGCCTGTTCCCACACCGCACACGATTGTTAAACACGATTGTTCCACATGGCTACATTTGCGATTTCCTGATTGAATGAAAATCCTACCAATTGTAGTTTCCATCGTATTTTGATAACAGAAATGCATCATTTGTAATGCAGTCCAAGCCCTTTCCTGAGCTTTCCTGACCGATATCCTGTTGCGTGAACAGTGCGAAACCTCTGGTGGATACTGGCATAAAGACAAGCTCGAAGGTGCCGTGTATTCTCCTAACCTAGGTTTCCGAAAATCCATCCCACGAGTCATCATTTCCCACTTGCCCTTGAATGAGATGACCATAAACTCATTCATTTTCTGTTCGGTTTGACCGGCTCGACGATCACGACGATAGCCTCTGTCTTTGCAATCTCTATGGAAAGGAAACTTGCAAGGTAAAATTTCTGCACAGCCCCATCCTACATTATGCATTCAGTTCTTGGATAGAGAAAACAATAACAAAAATAATACGTTGCCACTGGGAAGTCAGATTTGTTTTACAATAGTATGGGGCTGTGCGGAAATTTTACCCAACCCATTCTTAATATAGATTTCGCCATAAAAAACAAAACACAAATGCAATAAAGCAAATATTGAGTAACGGGAATTTTTTGCTCTAATCTCGACCTGAACACCAAAGGCAAGAAACCGTCTTTGTCAGTTTTCATAGTGTTCTACGTCACGAAACGCTAATTCGTTCGTTACTAGTCCACGGGACACTTTTAAGACAAAATAAGAGCATTTAAAGGGTCCGAAAAAACCGAGTTTTAAGTTTTTTGAAATTTTTCCTCTATCGGAATTGGTTTGTACTGTATGATAAGCTAAATATTTAGGCACAAAAAAATTCCGTGTCAGGAGGACTTTCGCGAAGAGATGACTTCTGCTCTCGATTGTTTCGACAACAATGCACACACAGTATTTTTGTATTCGCATATCTCATTAAGGAAACACTGAATAATCCACAAGTAAGTCTTTAACACAGTACATTTCCCCAGGTAGAACTTGCATCGGCTGATATATCATGGAATTGGCAAGGAACGAACCAGACATAGGGAAACGACAGATGTTTCCGCTTTCCTCACAGAATACTGTCCGAGGTTGGCAGTCACCAACACATTCACCTAAATTAGCAACAAACTTCAGGGCTGAATTCAATCCCTCGGGAAGCGAAGGAGGTCTAGATCATTCACCTTGTGTTTCTGCTGACGACATCGGCACTAATAAACAGGAATCGGTATTGGAAATTCACGAAAGATACAAATGGAGACGAGCTATCGTTGCTGTTTCAGTTGCGAGCTTGATCACTTCAATTTTTTTTTCGGCTGCTGCATTTTACGGCACGGCTACAACAGATAGTTCTTCTGCCCTTGCCACTGCGCTCGACACTCTCCTCGCAGTTTTCAGTACTGCTGTTGTTATTTGGCGTTTCCGGGACTATTCGAATGAGAAGGTCATGGGGCCAAGGAGGGAAAGATACGGATCAGTTGCCTTTGGTATCGCCTTTACTTTCAATGGTCTCGTAACAATTATAGTATCTAGTTTTAACTTGGAAGATGAAAAAAGACCCAGACATGCGAACTTATTGTGGTCTGCTCTTCTTGGTTTTAGTATTACCTACTGTCTTTTAGCTACTTTGGAGTTCTGGATCTCTAAGAGATACCAAAGTTCAGTTCTCGTTTCTTTGTGTATTGACGACGCAGTCACAAGTGGTCTTTTGCTGGGTATGGCAATAAGTACTTTACTTGTGGATCAATACACTTACATGTGGTATTTAGATCATATAGTCGCCATTGTATTGGCAGTTGTTCTTCTTGCAAGTGGTGTTAAGATTCTTATCGATATTTTTGTGCGCAAAGAACTTCCTTTCCAGGTGTTGGGGTAAATTCTTACCCTTGTTCCTTGTCAGGAAAACTTCTCAGAACGGGACGTGGGTGCGCTCGAGTCTTGTCAATAAACCGTCAAAACTCTACACAATAGAGTCAGTAGAGAGGAATTGTGTGCTTTGCCACCTTCACGTCTCCGAATTTCCCCAGAAAACGTGCCCTAGCCGAAAATTAGCCTCTTAATTTGGCTTTATCAACCGAGTTAATGTAAATTGACCACCGTAAAGTTTCCAAAAAGTGAGATTTCGTGCGTTAGCCTTCGTCAGAGCGAAAAGAAAAATAGCCAATGGAATATTGGCGAATGGAACATTATGAATATTAGCTCATTTGTTGATCAAAAAGAATATTAAATAAAAATAGATGAAAAATATTTACTCTGGAGTGCGAGTCAATGATTTTCCTAGCCCACTATTCTATTGGAGTTCTTTTTTAATAGTCTGTCCTGTGCAATGTACCGGGCGCTATTATTCAATTGAGAAAAATTAGTCTATTATCTAACTGAACTTAATTAGAAAACCCCTCTCTATAAGAATGGATCAACATAAAGCCTTTCTCCCTACGGCCTTGCATGAAAATGAATGAAATTGAAAACACCGAGTGCCGTTAGCATTTTAAAACTACGTTTTCGTTGGGCAAAGGAGGTACATTATTTCGACTCTGTAAAAGTTAGCAGTCATTTTAAAATACGTGACGTTTTTTAAAAAGAAAAGTCGGACAAGGGGCAAGCCTTCACAATAGGACCTTGTACTGCCTTCGATTGATTTCAATTCCATCGCTATGGTAACAAAGCCCCAGTTTTACAAGAGAAAAGCAGGTTCTGTGTTGTGAACTTACAGCACGCACCGTCAAAACGTGGTTCAAAAGATACTAATCATCACTCTGGGTTCAAAGATGGGAAGATTTCAATTCAAACAAACTTTTGAGTTTACCGGCCTGTTCAGTAAAAAACGGCCCGCATAACTGACCAACTATGGCGCAGGCACTAACTGACAAATATAATAAAATGCCAAACTTGCCTTTGACATGGTCTTGTATTTATTCTCTAGTAAAAAATTGTCACACGGCTCTGAATTTTGCAGATGGGCAAAAAAATTGTGGTATGATAGGGTAAGCAAGCTATAAACAAAAGTCAGGCCAAACGTTTCTCTAGCTCTAAAAGAGGTTCAAGTACTAGGTCAAGTATAATGGAATGATATATTTTTTATTCGTTTATCTTCCTTTTTCTAAAGGGACGAATGACACACATCACTTCTGGTTGCTTCTCATTGCTGATTAGTTGATGGTCTGTGTAGAGAAACATGTACAAATTTCTGCTTTAATTAAGACTGAACACTAAAAGTCTTCGATCACATCATTAAACCGTATCAACTGAGGTAAATTTTGGTAATTCAGCTGCCTCACATAAAACACTCAGAAATGATGCACTAATTTGAGCCAAACATTAATTCCAAAAGTTTTCATTTTTCTAGAAATCAAGACTCTTACGAACCCTGAAACATGTACATGTACGCAGTAGAGTTGTAATGTGAAGTGCATGGATCTTACAAATATATTCTTACAGATACATGCCCACAAAAAAGGACTTTCAAAACATCAACTTACTTGGCCCATTCCACGCTCAAGATCAGATGATCATAACCAAATCCTTGAACACTTTGAATAGCTCGGGCGGCATCCTCACGATGGACGAAGTTGATGAATGCAAAACCCTGCAGAACAGAAAGCGTAAAAAGGGTAAATATACTTTTTACAAAGCTTTCATCCCTTATTCTTTGACCTCTGAGAGTGATTAGCATCTAATTTCTCCTTAAAATATCACCCCTGAATCAAACATTATGGGCATGAGAATAAAAGAAATGATCCCCAACTAAAGAAGCTCTTGATTTTTAAACAAATTCTCCTTGTCAGCACCTTAGGAAATGTAAAGAGAACAGTATGGAGAATATGCATACTGATGTTAGGGTGTAAAAGGTTAAAAGCCTCTAGTTGGGACAGATTTCTCCATCAAGAAGTAAGAAAGAGTATTGCAATATCTCCTTCTGAATGGGATCCTAGTCAATCACAAGTTACCCATCAGTATTTCAACAGATTTCTGTGACAGTTCACCTGCACTTACATATACTACTGAAGAGAGGAACAGCAGGAGTAAAATATCTGGCCCTTAAACACAACACAATGTGTTCATTACTACAAAGATTTCTTTCATATTCATTTCTACATCTGCATTTCACATATATGATTTGCATATATTTACAGTTATTCATAGATCACAATGACTTGCCCAAGGTTTGAACCTGAAATCTTTTGACTCAGTGTTAACCCCTAAACTCCCAAGATTTCATTAGTAATTCTCCTTACTGTCTGCCAAATGATTCTCATTATGTTAGTTTGGAGAATTTGGTTTAACAGATCAATTGGTAATCCCAGAATTGATATTTTCCTTTATTCTCATCAGTTGTCTGCATGATATTGCATAGATATAGTAAGGGGAAATTCTGTCTTGGTCACTCACGGGAGCTAAAGTGTTAAGTGCCCTAACCATTAAGCAACTCTTTCCCCCTCCCCCCCCCCCACCCCCTTTCTGCAAAGATGAAAAGTGGATGTTTACAAGGACAAGAAACAGCTTATGCTACTATTAGACCATATATAAATGAGATAAATTCATTCTCTCCCACAAATTCAATCCCTTGGAAAATACACACACACAGTAGACAAATTATCTTTGGAGCCACTACCTTAGACTGGTTGGTATTCTTGTCTTTGGCCAAGAAAATCCTTGAGATTGGTCCAAATGGACGGAAGAGTTCCATGAGGTCAGATTCCCTAGTATCCTCTGACAAGTTTGTCACACGTATTGTGGCTGTTTCATCTGAATGGAAGGTACAATAGATAGTTTTTAATACACAACTTTATCTCTTATCTTGCACACTAGAAAATCAGGTCAAATCAACATTCAACTAAAAAACTTGCAAGACACACTCTTCTATCACTGTAGCACATAAAATTAGCACAAGGATAGATTTTGTTCCAGTGAGAGTCAATAATAGCAGTGGATAATTTTTTAAATTTCTTTGCACGCTACATATTGTATATAGCTCCACTGCTGATTCAACTCTCACGCTAACTTCCGAGGTGTCAAGGAGAAGAAAATTAATTTTGCTCTCAAAAATACCTAGTAAGGCAAGTATACCCTACCCTTACCATCTTGAATGTCAAGTTTTTCTATCTAACTGCTCAGAGTTCAACATTGTTTTGGGGGACGGGGGAACTATTGAATAGTAATGATACCTTTTGAATTCAAAAGAATTCATCAAGTATTTTTGCTCCTGATTGCAAACCCTTAAAAGGTTTATACCTCTCTGTGACCTTGGCATAGTCTCTCCACGCCTGTTTCCAGCCCCTTCTCTCAAACTTGGTGCTATGTACTTTCCAGTTTTAGATGCTTGTGGCTGCTCCCCAGCTCCTCCTACTGCTCCTCCTGTATTATTATAAACAATTAAGAAATTTCATTGACAAGTTCATGTGCTTTACTTGCAAAAATATCAAAGTTTTAATTCTCAAGATCCTGTTAGAAAACTTTCCTAGAGGGGAGAATTTGGTGTTGGATCAGAATCAGAAGAACACCCTCTGGGTTTTTCTTTTCAATAGCTTGATAATAATAATGAAGGTTCAATAAATTAAGTGTCATCCCACAGAGTGAAATAATACCATGTTTTAAACAAAAAAAATCAAAAACCTATTTTTCCAAATTACAAATGGTGTCTAGAGTTTAAAGATTCTAAGATGACTGAGGATAAAATTCCTTAAAAATTGATTTGTAAAATTTTTTTATATGTGCTTATCATTGGGAAAAATGTAACTTTCACTAGTATTCACAACTTTGCTTGAAAACCATCACAGGGGGAAAAGTTATATTAAGCCCTCTCTTTGCATGTTAACATATTGTACACAGAAGAAAATAATACTACAGGACTGATGAATCATTTTTCGGTATCGGAGGGTTAAACCAAAGCTTAGAAGGTTGACATAGCTCCAAAATTTATACCTCATTACAAATGTAGGTTGATGGTTAGTTTGTCTTTCCCTCTGTTCAGGATAAATATTTAAAATTATCACAAAAAGAAAAATACAGATGGACCTTCCAAGAGATCATTTTATCAAGAATTCCATTTGACCCTTTACACCTTTAGAGTGATAACCAATTAATTTCTTCTCACTGTATCCCCCCTGAATCAAACATTAGGATCATGAGAACAAATAAAATAATTGCAAATTAAAGAAGTTCTTGACTGGTAGACAAATTCTCCTTGCAAGTTCTGTGGGAGATGTATAGAGAGCAGTAAGGAGAACTTGCATATTGATGCTAGGGTATAAAGGGTTTACTCATAACTTGTACATTACATGTAAGCCCATAGTGGATCATCAAAGTATTAACCAATCAGGGAAAGTATCATGCAAGCACTGTACATGAACAGCACACTTGCAGGATGTGACTGAAGAAGTAAAATGATAGTTTATAGTTTCCTAAGGCACAAAACATGTCATGAGTCAACAACAATAGTGATGCTTAATCTTTGCTACCAGTAACTAGCAATCAGTAGACAAGTGGTTGGTTGAAGTCAATACATCAGTCAACTTAATACCAATACCACGGCTTTGGCATAAATACTGTACCATGGCATCATGTTGTCACAAAAACTTTTCCACACGAAAAAGTAACACCTTTCTATCTGGAATATGTGTACCATCCTGTTAGTTATACAAATCTAACTTGGCCTAAAATGATCAAAACAGCTTTCTAAAGGAAGTGGGGTTTATTCTAATTCATTACCAGCATCAACTGCAGATTTTGCTTCATCATCCTTGACTTGAGCTTGTATAACCTCAAGCTGATCCTTGTAAGGACACTTTGTTGTCCAGTGGTCCCCTTTACAGATACGGCACTGAACAATCTTCTGTGAACTTTGACCTAACTTTTTCAGTGGGTCATCATTATCTTGTTGAAGGTCCTAGAGAAAAGAAAAAGACAGATTGATTGAAAACTTTTCAATTAACAAACATATATGGCTTAGTGTCTTTAAAGCATTTATAAAGAGAGAAACAGAGAGCTCTGAAGATTCCATTATAAGCTTTCAATTCATTAAATATAATTTTGACTTCAAACCCTGTTAAGGGTTTGGTGAAAGTTAAAAAAAAGGATGTAAACCAAAAAAAAATTTTCCTTCATAGTGACTTTTGACATGATCCAACCAAACTACATCCTAAAGAGGATCAGAAGTGAGTTTGTCATCAACCAAGTGGTGTGGTAAAGAACAGATGGCAGTCTGTTCCCACAAACCACAGTCTGGCGCAAATTACAACATCATTTCCTCTACACTCTACTAATCCACCTTATCATTTTCCAGATGCACTGCTGATGAATAGCGTTAAAACTACCAAGTACAGCTTTTTGTACCAAATTCATTGAAAAAAAAAATTTTAAGCCAGATCCCAAAAAATATAAATGTATCACACTTAACATCTAGCTAACCACAATGTAAAGCTACCAGCTACCTTACTTAAGGACAAGTGATTTCAAATGTTTTCTATAAGAAAAAGGTGTCTACAGGCATGTTCCATGAGGCAGGTATGCAACTCCTTTTCATAAACTGTCACATACAGTTACTACTGCCATATACGAGAAACCTGCTGAGGTTTAGTCGTTTACCTCCTTATTTGTGGTGAGAATAAGGAACACATCATCAGTAACTGTTGTTGTAGAGGGATTAGGACCAGGACCATCATTCTTTGCATCTCCAAATTTTCTCCATAACTGAAATATAAAAAGAATCATTTTTAGAAGAGACTGGACCATGACAAACACATTATAAAAAAAGCAAACAGCCTTTCAATGACATAGTACATTTAAAAATCAAACTCTGCTACCTTTCTCTTTGCAATTGTCTTAGAAACTCTTTTCGTTTCAATTTTGAAAGTCCTCACAATCTAAGAGATAAATTAAGGGAGAAAAATTGTAAGCTCTGAAAAAAGTTCAGCAATCTAAATTTACACTTCTAGGAAAAATCCACAATGACCAAGGTAAATTCCACAAGGGTTAAAAAAGGCACTATCAGAGTGGGAGATTGGTTTGTTTAAGGAAATTACTTGAAGAGATTTCCATATAACCCCATACTAATCAGTTCTAAACAAAGCATTGATCTAAAAGGTAAACTATTGTTTTCTGATTCTTTTCAAATGACAGTACGAATAATGAAGTATGCAGTTATAAAGAAATCTTGCCAAAAACTCTACCAGACAGTCAAAAGTTTGATGCAGCTGCAATCAGTGTATTGTAAAAAATATATTTAACTCTGTTTGCCACATTTTAAGTGCTCTGTAAACAATACTGTTCTCTTTTCTGACACTAACCTTTAGAAGCTTTCCCTCTTCATTTCTTTTAAATTCTGTTACGATTTTTGTGTCTCCATTGATGACTTCTGTTGGAGGAGGTATGTGGTCTACAAAGCAATTGTCACACATAATTTGAGACAAGAACACAGTTACAGCTTTCAGTGAACTAAACATTGAGTCAGAGTAGAAAAATAAGTAAATTTTTTTGGTTGGCTTTATAAATAAAAATGTCAAAGGCATCCGATTCACATATAAAGTAAATGTGTACCCCAAGGTCAAAATATGATAAAAATCATATTATCAAAAAGGTAAAACCTTCAAAATAAAGCCAGCCTTGTGAGAAAAAACGCATAAAACTGGCCACACTGAACGAGCAGATCACATTTTAAAAGTGTTTTACCTGCTTCCCCTTCCTCTACCAAATCGGCCCAACTTGGCTTCTCACTGGAAAAACAAGAATAATCATTCATGCTTATTACATCAGGAATTTGTGCTGCCTAACATTTACCAAGAGCCATTGGACGTTTCTAGCAAGAAAAAAGTCAAGATATCCTATAAACCCAGAACTTAACAATTTCAAAGGAACAAGTTATATTTTCAGGCAGCCATCTTGAAACCTAAAAACTTTTGCATTGAGTCAAACGTTTAAATAAAGACTTAGTCTCTCAGAAAAAGAAAGCTAAAAGCACTTACTCGGCTTCTTTGTCGATGGCTGGCATCCGTTTGCTCAAGATTATCCAAAAACTTTCAAGTTTTGGTCAAAATTTCGATCTTTTTATTTCCACGTGAATCGTCGGCTCGTCAGCTAAACTTACAGCCGCAATGACTTCGGTTTGTTTGTCAGCGGTAAAGTGAATAGACCACAATTCCTTGAAACAGACAAATTTTCAAGATGGCGGACGAGGTGAGATGGTGACACTAAAATATTTTGGTAGAATTAAGTTGTACCTTGAGTTCGAATCTGATTGCTTTTGCTGTAACCTCTAGGCAGAAGGAAAGCACAAAAAGAAGATGAAAAAGAAAGGTGTGTCTGTCGCTGTTGTTGTTATTGTTTTTTTATCAGGTGGCATTGTCAAAGAGTCTGAATATACGGTTAACATAATGGCGTGTTTTACCATGGTAAATTTAATTTACGTGTAACCTTAAGCTTTCATGCTACACCACCATCCATACTTTCGAAAATCGATATTTAATCGTAAGCTCAGAAATTGTAGTCTATCTTCTTTGAACGCCATCTTTTTTATGAAACTTGGCGTAGTAGTAGAAGTTATACCGTCTATTGTTGTATTTCTTTGATAAAACTGTCTTCTTAAGTTTAAAATTAAATTTGTGGTAATTCTTAATTTCAGCAAAACACAAGCTTGGGAAGAGGAGGAGGGATTCATCTCCAGAACAAGAAAACACTGTAGAGTCAAAGATACATAAAACAGATGCCAATGGCACCACGACTACAGGTCAGAAAAGAGCTCATGTCATACAGATTCACAAGATAGAGGAGGGAATTTCTTTGGCAAGGTGGATATATTGTTGTACTCTGGATCAAAAGGTCTGGGTTTGAGGGCTGCCAGGGCCATTTGTGTTGCTGTTGTGAATGTTTTTTGGTTTTTTTTTTTTGGTTTTTTTTTTTTTGGGGGGGGGG